ATGTATACAACAGTTACTATAGAACATGTGACTCATGTATACAACAATTACTATAGAACATGTGACTAATGTATACAACAGTTACTATAGAACATGTGACTCATGTATACAACAGTTACTATTAAACATGTGACTCATGTATACAACAGTTAATATAGAACATGTGACTAATACAACAGTTACTATAGAACATGTGACTAATGTATACAACAGCTACTATAGAACATGTGACTAATACAACAATTACTAAAGAACATGTGACGCATGTATACAACAGTTACTATAGAACATGTGACTAATACAACAGTTACTATAGAACATGTGACTCATGTATACAACAGTTACTATAGAACATGTGACTAATGTATACAACAGTTACTATAGAACATGTGACTAATGTATACAACAGTTACTATAGAACATGTGACTCATGTATACAACAGTTACTATAGAACATGTGACTAATGTATACAACAGTTACTATAGAACATGTGACTAATGTATACAACAGTTACTATAGAACATGTGACTAATGTATACAACAGTTACTATAGAACATGTGACTAATGTATACAACAGTTACTATAGAACATGTGACTAATACAACAGTTACTATAGAACATGTGACTAATGTATACAACAGTTACTATAGAACATGTGACTAATACAACAGTTACTATAGAACATGTGACTAATGTATACAACAGTTACTATAGAACATGTGACTAATGTATACAACAGTTACTATAGAACATGTGACTAATGTATACAACAGTTACTATAGAACATGTGACTAATGTACACAACAGTTACTATAGAACATGTGACTAATGTATACAACAGTTACTATAGAACATGTGACTCATGTATACAACAGTTACTATAGAACATGTGACTAATACAACAGTTACTATAGAACATGTGACTAATGTATACAACAGTTACTATAGAACATGTGACTAATGTATACAACAGTTACTATAGAACATGTGACTAATTCAACAGTTACTATAGAACATGTGACTATAGTATACAACAGTTACTATAGAACATGTGACTAATGTATACAACAGTTACTATAGAACATGTGACTCATGTATACAACAGTTACTATAGAACATGTGACTAATGTATACAACAGTTACTATAGAACATGTGACTAATACAACAGTTACTATAGAACATGTGACTAATGTATACAACAGTTACTATAGAACATGTGACTAATACAACAGTTACTATAGAACATGTGACTAATACAACAGTTACTATAGAACATGTGACTAATGTATACAACAGTTACTATAGAACATATGACTCATGTATAGAACATGTGACTAATGTATACAACAGTTACTATAGAACATGTGACTCATGTATACAACAGTTACTATAGAACATGTGACTAATGTATACAACAGTTACTATAGAACATGTGACTCATGTATACAACAGTTACCATAGAATATGCGACTCATGTATACAACAGTTACTATAGAACAAGTGACTAATGTATACAACAGTTACTATAGAACATGTGACTAATGTATACAACAGTTACTATAGAACATGTGACTAATACAGCAGTTACTATAGAACATGTGACTAATGTATACAACAGTTACTATAGAACATGTGACTAATGTATACAACAGTTACTATAGAACATGTGACTAATGTATACAACAGTTACTATAGAACATGTGACTAATGTATACAACAGTTACTATAGAACATGTGACTAATGTATACAACAGTTACTATAGAACATGTGACTAATACAACAGTTACTATAGAACATGTGACTAATGTATACAACAGTTACTATAGAACATTTGACTAATTCAACAGTTACTATAGAACATGTGACTAATGTATACAACAGTTACTAAAAAACATGTGACTTTAGTATACAACAGTTACTATAGAACATGTGACTCATGTATACAACAGTTACTATAGAACATGTGACTAATGTACACAACAGTTACTATAGAACATGTGACTAATGTATACAACAGTTACTAAAGAACATGTGACTCATGTATACAACAGTTACTATAGAACATGTGACTAATACAACAGTTACTATAGAACATGTGACTAATGTATACAACAGTTACTATTGAACATGTGACTAATGTATACAACAGTTACTATAGAACATGTGACTAATTCAACAGTTACTATAGAACATGTGACTATAGTATCCAACAGTTACTATAGAACATGTGACTGATGTATACAACAGTTACTATAGAACATGTGACTCATGTATACAACAGTTACTATAGAACATGTGACTCATGTATACAACAGTTACTATAGAACATGTGACTAATGTATACAACAGTTACTATAGAACATGTGACTCATGTATACAACAGTTACCATAGAACATGTGACTCATGTATACAACAGTTACTATAGAACAAGTGACTAATGTATACAACAGTTACTATAGAACATGTGACTAATGTATACAACAGTTACTATAGAACATGTGACTAATACAACAGTTACTATAGAACATGTGACTAATGTATACAACAGTTACTATAGAACATGTGACTAATACAACAGTTACTATAGAACATGTGACTAATGTATACAACAGTTACTATAGAACATGTGACTAATGTATACAACAGTTACTATAGAACATGTGACTAATGTATACAACAGTTACTATAGAACATGTGACTCATTTATACAACAGTTACTATAGAACATGTGGCTACTGTATACAACAGTTACTATAGAACATGTGACTCATGTATACATCAGTTACTATAGAACATGTGACTAATGTATACAACAGTTACTATAGAACATGTGACTCATGTATACAACAGTTACTATAGAACATGTGGCTACTGTATACAACAGTTACTATAGAACATGTGACTCATGTATACAACAGTTACTATAGAACATGTGACTAACACAACAGTTACTATAGAACATGTGACTAATGTATACAACAGTTACTATAGAACATGTGACTCATGTATACAACAGTTACTATAGAACATGTGGCTAATGTATACAACAGTTACTATAGAACATGTGACTAATACAACAGTTACTATAGAACATGTGACTAATACAACAGTTACTATAGAACATGTGACTAATGTATACAACAGTTACTATAGAACATGTGACTAATACAACAGTTACTATAGAACATGTGACTAATGTATACAACAGTAACCATAGAACATGTGACTAATGTATACAACAGTTACTATAGAACATGTGACTAATGTATACAACAGTTACTATAGAACATGTGACTAATACAACAGTTACTATAGAACATGTGATTAATGTATACAACAGTTACTATAGAACATTGGACTAATACAACAGTTACTATAGAACATGTGACTAATACAACAGTTACTATAGAACATGTGACTAATGTATACAACAGTTACTATAGAACATGTGACTAATGTATACAACAGTTACTATAGAACATGTGACTCATGTATACAACAGTTACTATAGAACATGTGGCTACTGTATACAACAGTTACTATAGAACATGTGACTCATGTATACAACAGTTACTATAGAACATGTGACTAATACAACAGTTACTATAGAACATGTGACTCATTTATACAACAGTTACTATAGAACATGTGACTAATGTATACAACAGTTACTATAGAACATGTGGCTAATGTATACAACAGTTACTATAGAACATGTGACTAATGTATACAAGAATTACTATAGAACATGTGACTCATGTATACAACAGTTACTATAGAACATGTGGCTACTGTATACAACAGTTACTATAGAACATGTGACTCATGTATACAACAGTTACTATAGAACATGTGACTAATACAACAGTTACTATAGAACATGTGACTAATGTATACAACAGTTACTATAGAACATGTGACTAATGTATACAACAGTTACTATAGAACATGTGACTCATGTATACAACAGTTACTATAGAACATGTGACTAATACAACAGTTACTATAGAACATGTGACTAATGTATACAACAGTTACTATAGAACATGTGACTCATGTATACAACAGTTACTATAGAACATGTGACTCATGTATACAACAGTTACTATAGAACATGTGACTAATGTACACAACAGTTACTATAGAACATGTGGCTAATGTATACAACAGTTACTATAGAACATGTGACTAATGTACACAACAGTTACTATAGAACATGTGGCTAATGTATACAACAGTTACTATAGAACATGTGACTCATGTATACAACAGTTACTATAGAAAATGTGACTAATGTACACAACAGTTACTATAGAACATGTGACTAATGTATACAACAGTTACTATAGAACATGTGGCTAATGTTTACAACAGTTACTATAGAACATGTGACTAATGTATACAACAGTTACTATAGAACATGTGACTAATGTATACAACAGTTACTATAGAACATGTGACTCATGTATACAACAGTCACTATAGAACTCTCTCTGTGACTAATGTACACAGAGAGACCAGAGAGAGACCAGAGAGAGACCAGAGAGAGACCAGAGAGACACACCAGAGAGAGACCAGAGAGTGAGAGCAGAAAGATTCTTATCCTGGTCCTGGTCAATGTATTTTTTGGATGATATTCTTTGCACTGCAGCATTCGGCGGAGCGGACCTGAACGCTGAAGGTAGAACGTTCATCTTGTCTCATGTTTGTTGAAGTTTAAACGTTCTGGTGATGTTTACATGAGGAGGTCTCAGAGTCTGCAGCTAGAATCCTGGAACTGGTTAAAACAGTTTATAGACTGAAGGATTTTATCTTCACTCCTTTAAAGCTCTTGGATCATTGATGAAGTGATGAGTGGTTTATGAACTGTGCGATACAAATAAACTTGGCTTTTCTCATGAAGGTCATTGGGCAGAACCAGCAGATCCAGAACCACTCGTCTCAGAACCACCTCTCGTGTTTGTTCCACATAAATAACCTTGACTCAGTGTAGAGATGGCGTCTGTGAATCCAGGACCGTGGACCAAAGACGAACTCGCCGCCATCAACGACGAGGACGTTCTGAACCAGATGGTCAGAGACGACACCATGTGACTCAGACGACACCATGTGACTCAGAGACAACACCATGGGACTCAGACGACACCATGTGACTTAGAGACGACACCATATGACTCAGACAACACCATGTGACTCAGACGACACCATGTGACCAAACCAGCCAACTTCATCTCCATCAACACAGAAAGCTTTACTTTATTGTCTCTGTGTGTGTGTGTCTCACATGAGTGTTTGTGTTTCCCTCTCTCTTTGTATGTTGCATGTGTGTGTATGTCTGTGTGTGTGTTTCTGTGTGTGTCTCTGTGTGTGTGTGTTTCTGTTTGTGTCTGTGTGTGTGTGTGTGTGTGTGTCTGTTTGTGTGTGTGTTCATGTGTCTGTGTGTGTGTGTGTGTCTGTGTGTGCGCGTGTGTCTGTCTGTGTGTGTGTGTGTGTGTGTGTGTGTGTGTGTGTGTGTGTGCATTACAGATTGACAAAGCCCAGACGTTTGAAGAGCGGAGTGTGTTGCGAGCCGCTCTCAGAGATCTGCTGCAGAGAAACATCGGTGACAGTTTTAGATTTAAACAGTTTTAGATTTAAACAGTGATTAAGTTTAGAGTTAAATAAAGTTAAACACTGTTTTGTCGTTTCCTTCAGTTAAACGTCAGGAGGAGAGAGCAGCACGGCAGGCTGACCTGAGACAGCAGGCGACAGGAGATGCTCCAGGTGCTCCGGGTGCTGGAGGCAGGCGCAGTGTGGAGCAGAGTACGGGACGATTCCCTTTAGTTTGATTTTGTGTGTGTGTGTCTGTCTGTGTGTGTGTCTGCATGTCTGTCTGTGTGTGTGTGTGTGTGTGTGTTTTTGTGTGTGTATACGTGTCTGTCTTTGTGTGTGTCTGAGTGTGTGTTTGTCAGAAACATAAGACACATGGCCAATATGAATGGGGAACAATGGAGTACAAACAGGAAGGCCATGAAGCCTCTCTAGAGTTTGGGTGTGTCGTCCTGCTCACAGGTGCCGCCATCTTGTGGACACCTGTGGAACTGCTACGTTGATTGGAATTTAATGCAGTTTGTGTGTTTTTGTGTGTATGTGTGTGCGTTTGTATTTCCAGAGAAAAGTCCAGTGACTGCTCCCATTGGCAAGACATCAGAGTGAGTGTGTGTGTGTGTGTGTGTGGGTGTGTATGTCTGTGTGTGTAAGTGTGTGTGTGTGTGTGTGTGTATCTCTCTCTCTTTTTGTGTCTCACGTGTGTGTGTCTCTCTCTCTTTGTGTCTCTGTGTATGTGTGTGTGTCTGTGTCTCTCTTTGTATGTCTCACGCTTGTGTGTGTCTCTCTCTCTCTTTGTGTGTCTTTGTCTCTCTCTTTGTGTGTCTCTGTGTATGTGTGTGTGTCTGTGTCTCTCTCTTTGTATGTCTCACGTGTGTGTGTCTCTCTCTGTGTGTCTCTGTGTATGTGTGTCTATGTCTCTCTCTTTATATGTCTCATATGTGTGTGCATGTGTGTGTGTCTTTGTCTCTCTCTTTGTGTGTCTCTGTGTATGTGTGTGTGTCTCTCTCTCTTTCTTTGGTTGTCTCTCTCTCTCTCTCTTTGTGTGTCTTTGTCTCTGTGTATCTTTGTGTGTCTCTATGTACGTGTGTGTCTATCTCTAAAATGTCACCGTTTTTATTGGGTTATTGTATGTATTTCATGTTAAATGATTGGTTCATGTATTAAAGATTAAAAGTGTGTATCCAGGAAACAGATGTAGGTCAGAATCTGCACATTAACAACGACACAGCGCGCGCCAGCAGCACAGATCTATACACGGACATTTCAGGGCACACACTTTCTGACACACAACCATCAATAAACCAGTGTTTTTCACCAGTGGTTTGTTATTGTGAGTTTGGGTATGATCCGATATCACCCACTGTCAAAACCATATGAGACAAGACCATAAAACACTTTGCATGAACTCAGCTCTGTGCAGTGCTGTGTTTGAATATATCCCATATTCACTGGTTACTCACTGGTTACTCACTGGTTACTCAATAATTACTCACTAAATACGTAATAGTTACTCACTGGTTACTCTCTGGTTATTCACTAGTTACTCAAAAGTTACTAACTGGTTACTCACTGGTTAATCCCTAGTTACGAACTGGTTACTCACTAGTTACTCACTAGCTACTCACTAGTTACTCGATAGTTACTTAATAGTTACTCACTGGTTACTCTCTGGTTATTCACTAGTTGCTCAATAGTTACTCAAAAGTTACTCGCTAGTTACTCACTGGTTAATCACTAGTTACTCACTGGTTACTTACTGGTTACTAATCAGTTACTCAGTAGTTACTCACTAGTTACTCACTAGTTACTCACTAGTTACTCACTAGTTATTCACTGGTTACTCAATAATTACTCAATAGTTACTCACTAGTTACTCAATAGTTACTCAATAGCTACTCAATAGTTACTCACTGGTTACTCACTGGTTACTCAATAGTTACTCAATAGTTACAGTACTCACTGGTTACTCAATAGTTACTCAATAGTTACTCACTGGTTACTCAATAGCTACTCAATAGTTACTCACTGGTGACTCAATGGTTACTCAATAATTACTCACTGGTTACTCAATAGTTACTCAATAGTTACTCAATAGTTACTCAATAGCTACTCAATAGTTACTCACTGGTTACCAAATAGTTACTCAATAGTTACTCAATAGTTACTCACTAGTTACTCAATAGTTACTCACTAGTTACTCAATAGCTACTCAATAGTTACTCACTGGTTACTCAATGGTTACTCAATAGTTATTCAATAGTTACTCACTGGTTACTCAATAGTTACTCGCTAGTTACTCACTGGTTACTCGCTAGTTACTCTGGTTACTCGCTAGTTACTCACTGGTTACTAATCAGTTACTCACTAGTTACTCAATAGTTACTCACTGGTTGCTCAATAATTACTCAATAGTTACTCACTGGTTACTCAATAGTTACTCAATAGCTACTCAATAGTTACTCACTGGTTACTCACTGGTTACTCAATAGTTACTCACTAGTTAATCAATAGCTACTCAATAGTTACTCACTGGTTACTCAATGGTTACTCAATAGTTACTCAATAGTTACTCACTAGTTACTCAATAGCTACTTAATAGTTACTCACTGGTTACTCAATAGTTACTCACTGTACTCACTGGTTACTCAATAGTTACTCAATAGTTACTCACTGGTTACTCAATAGCTACTCAATAGTTACTCACTGGTTACTCAATGGTTACTCAATAATTACTCACTGGTTACTCACTAGTTACTAATAGTTACTCACTAGTTACTCAATACTACTCAATAGTTACTCACTGGTTACTCACTGTTACTCATAGTTACTCACTGGTTACTCAATAGTTACTCAATAGTTACTCAATAGTTACTCACTGGTTACTTACTGGTTACTCAATAGTTACTCACTAGTTACTCACTGGTTACTCAATAGTTATCAATGTTACTCAATGGTTACTCAATAGTTACTCACTAGTTACTCAATAGCTACTCAATAGTTACTCACTGGTTACTAAATAGTTACTCAATAGTTACTCAATAGTTACTCACTGGTTACTCAATAGTTACTCACTGGTTACTCAATAATTACTCAATAGTTACTCAATAGTTACTCACTGGTTACTCACTGGTTACTCAATAGTTACTCACTGGTTACTCAATGGTTACTCAATAGTTACTCAATAATTACTCAATAGTTACTCACTGGTTACTCAATAGTTACTCAATAGCTACTCAATAGTTACTCACTGGTTACTCAATAGTTACTCAATAGTTACTCACTAGTTACTCAATAGCTACTCAATAGTTACTCACTGGTTACTCAATAGCTACTCAATAGTTACTCACTGGTTACTCACTGGTTACTCAATAGTTACTCAATAGTTACTCAATAGTTACTCAATAGTTACTCAGTAGCTACTCAATAGTTACTCACTGGCTACTCAATGGTTACTCAATAGTTATTCAATAGTTACTCACTGGTTACTCAATAGTTACTCGCTAGTTACTCACTGGTTACTCGCTAGTTACTCACTGGTTACTCACTGGTTACTTACTGGTTACTAATCAGTTTTCTCAGTAGTTACTCACTAGCTACTCAATAGTTACTCACTGGTTGCTCAATAATTACTCAATAGTTACTCACTGGTTACTCAATAGTTACTCAATAGTTACTCAATAGTTACTCACTGGTTACTCACTGGTTACTCAATAGTTACTCACTAGTTAATCAATAGCTACTCAATAGTTACTCACTGGTTACTCAATGGTTACTCAATAGTTACTCAATAGTTACTCACTAGTTACTCAATAGCTACTTAATAGTTACTCACTGGTTACTCAATAGTTACTCACTGGTCACTCAATAGTTACTCAATAGTTACTCAATAGTTACTCAATGGTTACTCAATAGCTACTCAATAGTTAATCACTGGTTACTCAATGGTTACTCAATAATTACTCACTGGTTACTCACTAGTTAATCACTGGTTACTCAATGGTTACTCAATAATTACTCACTGGTTACTCACTAGTTACTCACTAGTTACTCACTGGTTACTCAATAGCTACTCAATAGTTACTCAATAGTTACTCACTGGTTACTTACTGGTTACTAATCAGTTACTCACTAGTTACTCACTGGTTACTCAATAGTTACTCAATGGTTACTCAATGGTTACTCAATGTTACTCACTAGTTACTCAATAGCTACTCAATAGTTACTCACTGGTTACTAAATAGTTACTCAATAGTTACTCAATAGTTACTCACTGGTTACTCAATAGTTACTCACTGGTTACTCAATAATTACTCAATAGTTACTCAATAGTTACTCACTGGTTACTCACTGGTTACTCAATAGTTACTCACTGGTTACTCAATGGTTACTCAATAGTTACTCAATAATTACTCAATAGTTACTCACTGGTTACTCAATAGTTACTCAATAGCTACTCAATAGTTACTCACTGGTTACTCAATAGTTACTCAATAGTTACTCACTAGTTACTCAATAGCTACTCAATAGTTACTCACTGGTTACTCAATAGCTACTCAATAGTTACTCACTGGTTACTCACTGGTTACTCAATAGTTACTCAATAGTTACTCAATAGTTACTCAATAGTTACTCACTGGTTACTCAATAGTTACTCACTGGTTACTCAATGGTTACTCAATAGTTACTCAATAATTACTCAATAGTTACTCACTGGTTACTCAATAGTTACTCAATAGCTACTCAATAGTTACTCACTGGTTACTCAATAGTTACTCAATAGTTACTCACTAGTTACTCAATAGCTACTCAATAGTTACTCACTGGTTACTCAATAGCTACTCAATAGTTACTCACTGGTTACTCACTGGTTACTCAATAGTTACTCAATAGTTACTCAATAGTTACTCACTGGTTACTCAATAGTTACTCACTGGTTACTCAATAGCTACTCAATAGGTACTCACTGGTTACTCAATGGTTACTCAATAATTACTCACTGGTTACTCACTAGTTACTCAATAGCTACTCAATAGTTACTCACTGGTTACTCAATGTTTACTCAATAGTTACTCAATAGTTACTCACTGGTTACTCAATAGTTACTCAATAGTTACTCAATAGTTACACAATAGTTACTCAATAGCTACTCAATAGTTACTCACTGGTTACCAAATAGTTACTCAATAGTTACTCAATAGTTACTCACTAGTTACTCAATAGTTACTCACTAGTTATTTAATAGCTACTCAATAGTTACTCACTGGATACTCAATAGTCACTCAATAGTTACTCAATAGTTACTCACTGGTTACTCAATAGTTACTCAATAGTTACTCAATAGTTACTCAATAGTTACTCAATAGCTACTCAATAGCTACTCATTAGTTACTCACTGGTTACTCACTAACAGTTAAACAGTTTTATATGTAAACTGCTTTAAACCTTTTACATGTGTTTGTTCTGTTCCAGTCCCTCTGTGGTCGTCGCCCAGAAATGTCCCACGACTCCCAACTACAAAAACGTCAAACAAATGCTGCTGGACTGGTGTCGCGCCAAAACAGAACCTTATGAGGTAATAGTTCCACACGCCTGCATTCTACAGCCTCAGTCCTGGGTCTACAGCCTCAGTCCTGGGTCTACAGCCTCAGTCCTGGGTCTACAGCCTCAGTCCTGGGTCTACAGCCTCAGTTCTGGGTCTACAGCCTCAGTCCTGGATCTACAGCCTCAGTCCTGGATCTACAACCTCAGTCCTGGGTCTACAGCCTCAGTCCTGGATCTACAACCTCAGTCCTGGGTCTACAGCCTCAGTCCTGGATCTACAACCTCAGTCCTGGATCTACAGCCTCAGTCCTGGATCTACAGCCTCAGTCCTGGGTCTACAGCCTCAGTCCTGGGTCTACATCTGTTATTTCCTTTGTGTGAGCGGTTTGATTTTCTAATCTGCTCTTGGTTGAATCCACAGGGTGTGAACATCCAGAACTTCTCCTCCAGTTTTAAAGATGGCGTCGCCTTCTGTGCCCTGGTCCATCGCTTCTTCCCGGATGCGTTTGATTATTCCACCTTGAACCCGAACGAGCCACGGCAGAACTTCCACCTGGCCTTCAGCACTGCGGAGTGAGAGCTCTAACCTCATCTCTAACCTCACATCTAACCTCATCTCTAACTTCAGCTCTAACCTAATCTCTAACTTAATCTCTAACCTTATCTATAACTTAATCTCTAACCTCATCTCTAACTTAATCTCTAACCTCATCTCTAACTTAATCTCTAACCTCATATCTAACTTCATCTCTAACCTAAGCTCTAACCTAATCTCTAACCTCATCTCTAGCTTCATCTCTAACCTCAGCTCTAACTTAATCTCTAACCTCATTTCTAACCTCAGCTCTAACTTCAGCTCTAACCTAATCTCTAACCTCATCTCTAACCTCATCTCTAACCTTAGCTTCAACTTCATCTCTAACCTCATCTCTAACCTAATCTCTGACCTAATCTCTAACATCATCTCTAACTTCACCTCTAACCTCACTTCTAACCTCATCTCTAACTTCATCTCTAACCTCATCTCTAACCTCATCTCTAACTTTAGCTCTAACTTCAGCTCTAACTTTATCTCTAACATCATCTCTAACCTCATCTCTGACTTTATCTCTAATCTCAGCTCTAACTTCCTTTCTAACCTCATCTCTAACTTCAGCTCTAACCTCATCTCTAACCTCATCTCTAACCTAATCTCTAACCTCATCTCTAACTTCATCTCTAACCTCATCTCTAACTTCATCTCTAACCTCATCTCTAACTTCATCTCTAACCTCATCTCTAACCTTATCTCTAACTTCAGCTCTAACTTCAGCTCTAATTTAATCTCTAACATCATCTCTAACCTCATCTCTGACTTTATCTCTAATCTCATCTCTAATTTAATCTCTAACCTCATCTCTAACCTCATCTCTAACTTCAGCTCTAACCTCATCTCTAACCTCATCTCTAACTTAATCTCTAACCTCATCTCTAACCTCATCTCTAACCTCATCTCTAACTTCATCTCTAACCTCATCTCTAACCTCATCTCTGACCTCATCTCTGACCTCATCTCTCACCTCATCTCTAACCTCATCTCTAACCTCATCTCTAATTTAAGATCTAACCTAATCTCCAACTTCATCTCTAACATAATCTCTAAACTCATCTCTAACCTCATCTCTAACCTCATCTCTACCCTCATCTCAAACCTCATCTCTAACCTCATCCCTAACCTCATCTCTAACCTCATCTCTAACCTCATCTCTAACCTAATCTCTAACCTAATCTCTAACCTCATCTCTAACCTCATCTCTGACCTGTCCGCAGGAGGCTGGCCGGCTGCCCCTCGCTGCTCGACCCGGACGACCTGGTCAGGATGCCGGAGCCGGACTGGAAGTGCGTCTACACATACATTCAGGAGTTCTACCGCAGCCTGGTGGAGAAAGGCCTGGTCAAGACCAAGAAGAGGCCATAACCATGTGCCCCACCTTGAGACCAGAAGGCGATGAAGAGATTATGTTACAACTATGTTTGTCGATTTTAAGCCGGAACATCTGTATCAAACCCATGTTTCTAGTTCAGCTCTAAAACAGCTTATTCTGGTCTCTCTCTGGTTGCTCTCGCTGGTCCCTTTCTGGTCTCTTTTACTGGACTCTCTCTGGTCTCTCTGATCTCTCTCTTTGGTCTCTCGCTGGTCTATTTCTCTCTGGTCGCTGGTCCCTTTCTGGTCTCTCTCTTGTGTCTTTCTGGCCTTTCTCTGGTCTCTCTCTGGTCTTTCTTTGGTCTCTCGGGTCTCTCTCTAGTCTCTCCCTGGTCTCTCTCTCTCTGGTTTCTCTCTCTGGTCCCTCTAAGGTCCCTCTCTAGTCCCTCTCTGGTCTCTCTGTTCTCTTTCTGGTCTCTCTCTGGTCTCTCTCTCTGGTCTCTGTCTGGTTTCTCTCTGGTCTCTCACATCAGCCTTTTCCACCTCACTCAGCTCCCAGTCAAATAGTGACTCACAGTGTGTTGTGTCTGATTTGTTCACTTTTATTACAATTGACATGTTGTTTACGCGTGACTGCAGCTTTAAGCTTTCCAAGCACTTTTTTACTTCCTGTTTGTAAATTATGACATCACTTTAAACTGAGATAAACAAACAACTCTAAGGTGCATAATGGAAATAAACTTAAATAATCTTACTGTTGTACAGTCTGAAGTTACTGCGACTGAGACCAGAGACCAGAGTGAGACCAGAGTGAGACCAGAGTGAGACCAGAGTGAGAGATCAGAGAGAGACCGGAGAGAGACCAGAGTGAGACCAGAGAGAGACCAGAGAGAGACCAGAGAGAGAAACCAGAAAGAGACCAAAGACAAACCAGAGAGAGACCAGAGAGAGAGACCAGAGAGTGACCAGAGAAAGACCAGAGAGAGAGACTAGAGAGAGACCAGAGAGAGAAACCAGAGAGAGACCAGAGACAAACCAGAGAGAGACCAGAGAGTGACCAGAAAGGGAGACCAGAGAGAGACCAGAGAGAGACCAGAGAAAGACCAGAGAGAGAGACTAGAGAGAGACCAGAGAGAGAAACCAGAGAGAGACCAGAGACAAACCAGAGAGAGACCAGAGAGAGACCAGAGAGAGACCAGAGAGAGAGACCAGAGAGATACCAGAAAGGGAGACCAGAGAGAGACCAGAGAGACCAGAGAAAGACCAGAGAGAGAGACTAGAGAGAGACCAGAGAGAGAAACCAGAGAGAGACCAGAGACAAACCAGAGAGAGACCAGAGAGAGACCAGAGAGAGAGACCAGAGAGAGACCAGAAAGGGAGATCAGAGAGAGAGACCAAAGAGAGGCCAGAGAGAGACCAGAGAGAGACCAGAGAGAGACCAGAGAGAGAGAGACCAGAGAGAGAAACCAGAGAGAGACCAGAGAGAGAGAGACCAGAGAGAGACTTTTATTACAATTGACATGTTGTTTACGCGTGACTGCAGCTTTAAGCTTTCCAAGCACTTTTTTACTTCCTGTTTGTAAATTATGACATCACTTTAAACTGAGATAAACAAACAACTCTAAGGTGCATAATGGAAATAAACTTAAATAATCTTACTGTTGTACAGTCTGAAGTTACTGCGACTGAGACCAGAGACCAGAGTGAGACCAGAGTGAGACCAGAGTGAGACCAGAGTGAGAGATCAGAGAGAGACCGGAGAGAGACCAGAGTGAGACCAGAGAGAGACCAGAGAGAGACCAGAGAGAGAAACCAGAAAGAGACCAAAGACAAACCAGAGAGAGACCAGAGAGAGAGACCAGAGAGTGACCAGAGAAAGACCAGAGAGAGAGACTAGAGAGAGACCAGAGAGAGAAACCAGAGAGAGACCAGAGACAAACCAGAGAGAGACCAGAGAGTGACCAGAAAGGGAGACCAGAGAGAGACCAGAGAGAGAGACCAGAGAAAGACCAGAGAGAGAGACTAGAGAGAGACCAGAGAGAGAAACCAGAGAGAGACCAGAGACAAACCAGAGAGAGACCAGAGAGAGACCAGAGAGAGACCAGAGAGAGAGACCAGAGAGATACCAGAAAGGGAGACCAGAGAGAGACCAGAGAGACCAGAGAAAGACCAGAGAGAGAGACTAGAGAGAGACCAGAGAGAGAAACCAGAGAGAGACCAGAGACAAACCAGAGAGAGACCAGAGAGAGACCAGAGAGAGAGACCAGAGAGAGACCAGAAAGGGAGATCAGAGAGAGAGACCAAAGAGAGGCCAGAGAGAGACCAGAGAGAGACCAGAGAGAGACCAGAGAGAGAGAGACCAGAGAGAGAAACCAGAGAGAGACCAGAGAGAGAGAGACCAGAGAGAGACTTTTATTACAATTGACATGTTGTTTACGCGTGACTGCAGCTTTAAGCTTTCCAAGCACTTTTTTACTTCCTGTTTGTAAATTATGACATCACTTTAAACTGAGATAAACAAACAACTCTAAGGTGCATAATGGAAATAAACTTAAATAATCTTACTGTTGTACAGTCTGAAGTTACTGCGACTGAGACCAGAGACCAGAGTGAGACCAGAGTGAGACCAGAGTGAGACCAGAGTGAGAGATCAGAGAGAGACCGGAGAGAGACCAGAGTGAGACCAGAGAGAGACCAGAGAGAGACCAGAGAGAGAAACCAGAAAGAGACCAAAGACAAACCAGAGAGAGACCAGAGAGAGAGACCAGAGAGTGACCAGAGAAAGACCAGAGAGAGAGACTAGAGAGAGACCAGAGAGAGAAACCAGAGAGAGACCAGAGACAAACCAGAGAGAGACCAGAGAGTGACCAGAAAGGGAGACCAGAGAGAGACCAGAGAGAGACCAGAGAAAGACCAGAGAGAGAGACTAGAGAGAGACCAGAGAGAGAAACCAGAGAGAGACCAGAGACAAACCAGAGAGAGACCAGAGAGAGACCAGAGAGAGACCAGAGAGAGAGACCAGAGAGATACCAGAAAGGGAGACCAGAGAGAGACCAGAGAGACCAGAGAAAGACCAGAGAGAGAGACTAGAGAGAGACCAGAGAGAGAAACCAGAGAGAGACCAGAGACAAACCAGAGAGAGACCAGAGAGAGACCAGAGAGAGAGACCAGAGAGAGACCAGAAAGGGAGATCAGAGAGAGAGACCAAAGAGAGGCCAGAGAGAGACCAGAGAGAGACCAGAGAGAGACCAGAGAGAGAGAGACCAGAGAGAGAAACCAGAGAGAGACCAGAGAGAGAGAGACCAGAGAGAGAAACCAGAGAGAGACCAGAGACAAACCAGAGAGAGGCCAGAGAGAGACCAGAGAGAGACCAGAAAGGGAGACCAGAGAGAGACCAGAGAGAGACCAGAGAGAGACCAGAGAGAGACCAGAGAGACCAGAGAGAGACCAGAGAGAGACCAGAGAGAGACCAGAGAGAGAGACCAGAAAGAGACCAGAGAGACCAGAGAGAGAAACCAGAGAGAGACCAGAGAGAGGCCAGAGAGAGACCAGAGAGAGACCAGAGAGAGACCAGAGAGAGACCAGAAAGGGAGACCAGAGAGAGACCAGAGAGAGACCAGAGAGAGACCAGAGAGAGAGACCAGAGAGAGACCAGAGAGAGACCAGAGAGAGAAACCAGAGAGAGACCAGAGAGAGGCCAGAGAGAGACCAGAGAGAGACCAGAGAGAGACCAGAAAGGGAGACCAGAGAGAGACCAGAGAGAGACCAGAGAGAGAGACCAGAGAGAGACCAGAGAGAGACCCAAGAGAGAAACCAGAGAGAGACCAGAGAGAGACCAGAGAGAGGCCAGAGAGAGACCAGAGAGAGACCAGAGAGAGACCAGAAGGAGAGACTAGAGAGAGACCAGAGAGAGAAACCAGAGAGAGACCAGAGACAAACCAGAGAGAGACCAGAGAGAGAAACCAGAGAGAGACCAGAGAGAGACCAGAGAGAGAAACCAGAGAGAGAGACTAGAGAGAGACCAGAAAGAGACCAGAGAAAGACCAGAAAGAGAGACCAGAGAGAGACCAGGAAGAGACCAAAGAGAGTCCAGAGCTTTTGGACACACAAAATAGAATGATAAAAGTGATCCATTTGAGTTGGTGAACATATTTCAACTGTTTACATGTTTTTAGTTTGATGTCGTTGATTCAAAGTCAGATTGAAACATGTTCTGTTTCCACAGTCACTGTTGTGTTTCAGCAGATTATGACAGATTAGGACCATTCCTCTGGGATTATAGCTGCATCAATCCCACTCAGAGCAAATATATGCGAACATGTCATCACAGAAATGAACAAGGTTATCTGTCGGAGCGTTTTCCATTTTATCATTAAAAATACTCTCCAATCTTTTCAGAATTTGTGCTTGTACAATCTTGGGTTAGGTCTCTGGCCTCAGGAACCTGACAAGTAATGTTTACTTGAAAAAACCATGGAAATAAATTGCGTATTAACTTCACTTGAATTCCTCGAGTACATCCTTTACTTGATATTACCAAGTAACTCAAGTGATTGCGATAAAGTTTAAATTTCTACTTATGCTCCGACCGAGATTCGTACTCAGAACCCTGTGGTTGAGAGGTAATGGTGCTACCCACTCAGCCACCAGGCCACCCTGCCATTAATACACCTGCCTCATTAAAGAGTCTACACGTCAAAATGTCAAAAGTGAGGCTTACTTGAACAGAAACAGTTCAATTCAAAGAAAACCCTGAGTGACATAGGCAAGCTTTAAATAAACTAACAATAAATGAGTAATATCTACGTACTGGGAAAAATCTATTTAAAATAACTTTGATATCTGAAGTACGATTGAAGTTAGGGTTTACAGTGTGGTTTCCCTGGTCTCTGATTCCTCCTCTCTCTGGTCTTAAATCTCTGGTCTCTCACACATAAATGTATAATAATTATAAGTTTTTCCTTCTCTATGTTTTTGTTTCCCAGGGTCCTCTCTGTCTGATGCTGCTTCTGCATGTGCTAAATAAATAAAAGTGCTTTCCTCAGTGGCAGATTTCTCTGCTGTGTCTGTGACATCATGACCCGCTCATTCAGCAGATCGAGTTCAGCCAAATTCACATTTAATTATTGACCTTATGATCAATGTCCCCATCTGTGACGCACTGGTGCCGCGACACTGCGTCACGGGCACGCGCACGGTCTCAGGTGCGCGCATGTTTTTTTGTGGAGCGCGCGGACTCGGTGAGGAGGAGGATTGTCATTGCTGCTTGCGGTCATTAATATGTCATAACATGAACGGGATCATGTCACCGGGACACTGCCGTTAACGCGCGTGAAGGCTGCACGTGCGTCGCTTCGTGCGCGGGTCCTCTGCGCGCGCGGGACCGAGGCTCCATCACCGGAGGAAGAGGAGAAGGTGAGTCCTGACGTCTGTGTTTACTTGTGTGTTCGTGCACCTGTGAGCACGTGTCCTCTGGCCGCGGTCTGGAGCGTCTCTGTGAAGTGTCACCTCAATAAGGGAAGTTTATTTGTATAGCACGATTCAGAGGGGCGGCAGCACGCGCAAGAAGGTCCTGGGTTTGATTCCTCCTCCAGACCTATCTGTGTGAAGTTTGCATGTTCTCCTGCCTAGGTTTCCTCCGGGTGCTTCGGCTTCCCCTACCACTCAAAACATGTAGAATAGTCTGGCAGCGCCCCCTGCAGCGGAACAAATGTTTTACAATTTTGTGAGAGTGCTTTGTGTGCTATATAAATAAACATGACTCAGTTACTGACCTGTTATCGTGTGTTTGGACTTCTCTCTGGTCCAAATCCACAATAATAACAGGACTGGTCACGTCCATAGACAGTGGTAAAAACAGTCAAAAGGAGACTTAGATCCTTACGAACACACACAGGACCAACCCTGGTGAATACATCACCTCTTTGGTGGAAGTCAAACCAGTAGAATATAATCGAGGTTCATACGCAGCAGGATCTGGGAGACTTCCTGGACTATAAACTGCACCAGCTGCATCAGGAGAGAGTCCACACACTGACCTCGCCTGAATATAAGCCTCAAGTTCATGTTGTGATGTCACACGTCACCAACAGAGGATGGAAACCAAGCAGACTTTTAACTCGACACAACAGGATTTAATGATGAAGGAGTTTTAACTGTGAGGTGCAAAGCACTCTGGGAAATTCTGTTCTGACAGCAATGTTCTACAAAAACTCTGTTCTCTCTGCTGTTCACATAAACACCTCCTGTCTCTGCTGTTCACATAAACACACAATGTAAAGACATTCGCTGGCCGCAGTTTTGTAGATGTTTATTTGGATCTTTCACATTTACAGTTTAAGACTGACACAGATACATTTCTGAGGGGGTAAAAGGTTAAAGGTCGGGGTGTGCTGCAACACTGTAACAGGCCAGTTCGACCTGTGGTCACGTGACTCCCTTCACAAAGCTCTAATTAGAGATTAATTATTTAAAGCAGTATTGACTTTCCTTTTGCCATCGATCCTGAGGCTGTAGATCCAGGACTGAGGCTATAGACCCAAGACTGCGGCTGTAGACCCAGGACTGAGGCTGTAGACCCAGGACTGAGGCTGTAGACCCAGGACTGAGACTGTAGACCCAAGACTGAGGCTGTAGACCCAGGACTGAGGCTGTAGACCCAGGACTGAGACTGTAGACCCAAGACTGAGGCTGTAGATCCAGGACTGAGGCTGTAGACCCAAGACTGAGACTGTAGACCTATGACTGAGACTGTAGATCCAGGACTGAGGCTGTAGACCCAGGACTGAGGCTGTAGACCCAGGACTGAGGCTGTAGACCCAAGACTGAGACAAGTGCATTTAAAAGAAGCCAGATCCCATCATCACACCATGAAACAGACAATGGGACAGTGGGTGAATAGCAATGAACAGACAAGAGTAGGTTTTGCACTAGACTCATATGTTTCTGTCTTTGGGTTTGTAGTTCATGGATCAAGTCCACAAGAAGTGACCCTCAGAGCCCCCCCTCAGATGGAGCCCCCCCCTGCCCCCACAGACATCTCCAACATCCGCAGACCAAGACCCACCGCTCTGAGGAGCAAAGCCACACCAGGGGACATCGACCTGAGTCCAGTCTCTATTCCAGGTCCTCACCCCCCTCCTCGCCTCCACTCCCCCAATGCCCCCCCTCCTCGCCTCCACTCCCCCAATGCCCCCCCTCCTCGCCTCCACTCCCCCAATGCCCCCCCTCCTCACCTCCACTCCCCAAATGCCCCCCCTCCTCACCTCCACTCCCCAAATGCCCCTCCTCCTCGCCTCCACTCCCCCAGTGCCCCCCCTCCAAACCCCCACTCCCTCAGCAGCTCCACACAGAGCCAATCCCCGCAGGAGAAGACTGACGTGGGCAGTGATTTCAGGTACGCAGTGCTTTCACCCTGATGGGAAAGATGCACTGTATTTTACCAGATTATGTCCTGGGATTAAATCAGATTATGTTTTACCTGATATTATACCAGATTATGTCTCACCTTGGATAATACCATATTATGTTTTACCTGGGATTATATCAGAATATTCCTCATTGGGGATTATACCAGATTATGTTTTACTTGGGATTCTACCAGATTATGTTTTACCTGGGATTATACCATATTATGTCTCACCTGGGATTATACTTTATTATGTCTCACCTAGTCCTTGTTTGACAGGGTGCACATAGTCACATGGAACGTGGGCTCCGCTGTGGCCCCTGATGACATCACGTCTCTGTTTGGTCCAAACGTCTCCGATGGAAAGGTGGACATGTTCGTCATTGGGTGAGTGTCCCTAATCTGGAGCCAGAGTGTGATTACTCGTTTCTACTCGAGTAAATCTGATGATTACTTTTTTGTACTCGAATAAATCTGATGATTACTTGTTTGTACTCGAGTAAATCTGATTATTACTTGTTTGTACTTGAGTAAATCTGATGATTGCTCTTTTGTACTTGAGTAAATCTGATGATTACTCGATTGTACTTGAGTAAATCTGATGATTACTCGATTGTACTTGAGTACTTGTGTCCTCAGACTTCAGGAGGTCAACTCCACAATCAACAAGAGGCTGAAGGACGCTCTGACCTCTGACCCCTGGACGGAGCTCTGTATGGAGACGCTGAGCCCCAGTGGGTTTGTCCTGGTGAGTGACCTCTGACCTTCAACTACTACTGATCCTGTGATTGGCTGCTGCTCTCTGATTGGCTGTTAATGCTCTGATTGGCTTCTTTGCTCTGATCGGCTGCCCTCTGATTGGCTTCTCTCTGATTGGCGGCCCTCTGATTGGCTGTTGCAGGTGGCCTCCCAGAGGATGCAGGGTGTTCTGCTCCTGGTCTTCTCAAAGTTCTGTCACCTGCCGTTTGTCAGGAACGTCCAGACCCAGAGCACACGCACAGGACTGGGAGGATACTGGGTATGTGTGTGTGTCTGTGTGTGTCTCTGTGTGTGTGTGCGTGTGTGTGTGCGTGTTCGTGTGCGTGTGTGTGTCTGTGTGTGTGTGTGTCTGTGTGTGTCTCTGTGTGTGTGTGCATGTTCGTGTGTGTGTGTGTCTGTGTGTGTCTCTGTGTGTGTGTCTGTGTGCGTGTTCGTGTGCGTGTGTGTGTCTCTGTGTGTGTGTGTGTGTGTCTGTGTGCGTGTGTGTGTGTGTGAGAGACCAGAGAGGAACCAGACAGACCAGAGAGAAACCAGAGACAAACCAGTGAGAGACCAGTGAGAGGCCAGTGAGAGATCAGAGAGACCAGAAAGAGAGACTAGAGAGAGAGAGACCAGAGAGAGACAGAGAGACCAAAGAGAGAAACCAGAAAGAGAGACCAGAGATAGACCAGTCTGTTTCTCCTCAGGGTAACAAAGGCGGGGTCAGTGCCCGGATGTGGGTGTTCGGTCACAGCCTGTGTTTCCTGAACTGCCATCTTCCCGCTCACATGAGGAACCTAGAGCAGAGGATGGAGGACTTCCAGAGCATCCTGCAGCAGCAGCAGTTTGAAGGAGGATCTGCCACTGGAGTCTTGGACCATGAGTGAGGACCACACCAGATGATACACCATGGTTCTAACTGGTGCTAAGAAAAGGAGATGACTCTGCACAGCTTTTAGCTCCCAAGAGTTTTTAATGTTATCACCACAAGATGTGACGTTTCGGGTCACTACCCTTCATCAGACATAAAGAAACCACAGGCTACACACCTGTATATATACACACAGTAATGACAGGTCACATGACTCATTCAATAGTCAAAAAATAAAAATACTGTCATTACTGTGTGTATATATACAGGTGTGTAGCCTGTGGTTTCTTTATGTCTGATGAAGGGTAGTGACCCGAAACGTCACATCTTGTGGTGATAACATTAAAAACTCTTGGGAGCTAAAAGCTGTGCAGAGTCATCTCCTTTTCTTTTCATGTTTTCTATTATCGACTTTTTTTGCACGCTGCTCAGTATTGGATGTGCGCGTCAACCCCACTTTCTCTAACTGGTGCTAACACATGGTCCACGTTCACAGTGTGGTCTTCTGGTTCGGAGATTTGAATTTTCGCATCGAGGATTACGACATCCATGTTGTAAAGTGTGCCATCGACGGAAACAAGCTGCCCCTCCTATGGGAGCGAGACCAGGTGAGCGACACCAGGGGAGTGAGACCAGGTGAGAGGGGAAGGTTCTGTGGGAGTGAGACCAGGTGAGAGGGGAAGGTTCTGTGGGACCTAGACAAGGTGAGAGGGGAAGGTTCTGTGGGAGTGAGACCAGGTGAGAGGGGAAGGTTCTGTGGGACCTAGACAAGGTGAGAGGGGAAGGTTCTGTGGGAGCGGGACCAGGTGAAAGGGGAAGGTTCTGTGGGAGGGAGACCAGGTGAAAGGGGAAGGTTCTGTGGGAGGGAGACCAGGTGAGAGGGGAGGCTTCTGTGGGAGCGAGACCAGGTGAGGGGGGAGGCTTCTGTGGGAGAAAGACCAGGTGAGAGGGGAGGCTTCTGTGGGAGCGAGACCAGGTGAGGGGGGAGGCTTCTGTGGGAGAAAGACCAGGTGAGAGGGGAGGCTTCTGTGGGAGAAAGACCAGGTGAGAGGGGAGGCTTCTGTGGGAGCGAGACCAGGTGAGGGGGGAGGCTGCTGTGGGAGAAAGACCAGGTGAGAGAGGGGAGGCTTCTGTGGGAGAAAGACCAGGTGAGGGGGGACATTTCTGTGGGAGAAAGACCAGGTGAGGGGGGAGGCTTCTGTGGGAGAAAGACCAGGTGAGAGGGGAGGCTTCTGTGTAGTAGACGATAGTCTTCTGTGTAGTAGAAAAGAGCAATGTTTTTTCCCTTGTGTTATCCTCGGGTCAAATTTATTAAGTGATTAAAAAACACTAAATGTTTTTTGAGTTTTGATGATTTTCCCTATCTTGACCCTGTGTCATTTAGACCCTTTTTGTCTTAATTTAGGGGATTTTTCTTGATTTTGATAAATGTGGCTGTAGTGTTGTTGTTTGTCCACCAGAGGGCGCTGTGGTTTATCCTGACGCTCTGCTGCTTCACAGTTGAACTTGGCCAAAAACACAGAATCCACTCTGGACGGATTCATGGAAGGATTGCTCCACTTTCAACCCACGTACAAGTTTGATGTGGGGACTGACACGTACGATACCAGGTGAGAGCAGAGAGAAGACACCAGGTGAGAGCAGAGAGAGGACACTAGGTGAGAGCAGAGAGAAGACACCAGGTGAGAGCAGAGAGAAGACACCAGGTGAGAGCAGAGAGAAGACACCAGGTGAGAGCAGAGAGAGGACACTAGGTGAGAGCAGAGAGAAGACACTAGGTGAGAGCAGAGAGAGGACACTAGGTGAGAGCAGAGAGAAGACACCAGGTGAGAGCAGAGAGAAGACACTAGGTGAGAGCAGAGAGAAGACACTAGGTGAGAGCAGAGAGAGGACACTAGGTGAGAGCAGAGAGAAGACACTAGATGAGAGCAGAGAGAGGACACCAGGTGAGGGCAGAGAGAGGACACCAGGTGAGAAAGGTGAGAGTAGAGAGAAGACACCAGGTGAGAAAGGTGAGAGTAGAGAGAGGAGAGCGAGGACACCAGGTGAGGGCAGAGAGCAGCGATAGAACGAAAAGACACTCCACCACTTCTGCTTTTAGAATTTTATATTCAAGAGTTTGTTTGGATGGATGTGTCTCTGCTGCTGTATGAATTAATGTGTCTCTGTCTCCCTCTCTCTCTCTGTCTCACTCTCTGTCTGTCTCTCTCTCTTTCCCTCTCTCTCTTTCCCTCTGTCTGCTCTGTCTCCCTCTCTCTCTGTCTCTGTCTTTCTCCCTCTCTGTCTGTCTCTCTCCCTCTCTGTCTGTCACTCTACCTCTCTGTCTGTCTCTCTCCCTCTGTCTGTCTTTCTCCCTCTCTGTCTGTCACTCTACCTCTCTGTCTGTCTCTCTCCCTCTCTGTCTGTCACTCTACCTCTGTTTCTCCCTCTCTCCCTCTCTAAATGTTTGTCTCTGTCTGTCTGTCTCACTCTCTCCGTCTGTCTCACTCTCTCTGTCTCTCTGTCTGTCTGCTCCAGTGCAAAGAAAAGGAAACCTGCCTGGACCGACCGCATCCTGTGGCGTCTGCGGAGGACCGGTTCTCCTCTGCCGACCCACAATGCCGCGCTGCAGAGGGGTCTCACCTCGTGGTTCGGAGGCACCACTAAAGTCTCACAGGAGAACTACAGGAGCCACATGAGCTACAGGATCAGCGACCACAAACCGGTCTCCTCGCTGTTCTCCCTGCAGGTCAGTGTCCGCCAGTCTCACAGAGAGTAATCTAAGTGTAATCTGGGTGTAATCTGAGTGTAATCTGAGTGTAATCTGAGTATAACCTGAGTATGATTTATATTCTGACTGATCTAAATGTAATACGGTGTAATATGATCATAGTCTGTATTCTGAGTGTAGTATAAATGTAATTCCGGGCGTATTCCGAGTGTATTCTGAGTAGGCTGAGTGTAATCTGATCATAATCTGTATTCTTAGTGTAATCTAAATGTAATCTGGGTGTAATCCGAGTGCATTCTGAGTAATCCGAGTGTAATCAGAGCATAATCTGTATTCTGAGTATAATCTAAATGTAATCCGGGTGTAATCCGAGTGTATTCTGAGTAATCCGAGTGTAATCTGATCATAATCTGTATTCTGGGTGTAATCTAAATGTAATCCGAGTGTATTCTGAGTGTAATATGAGCATAATCTGTATTCTGAGAGTAGTTTAAATGTAATCCAGGTCTATCTCGAGTGTATTCTGAGTAATGTGAGTGTAATCTGATCATAATCTGTATTCTGACTGCAATCTAAATGTAATCCGGGCGTAATCGGAGTGTATTCTGGGTATGCTGCATAATCTGTATTCTGAGTGTATTCTGAGTAATTCGAGTGTATAATCTGTATTCTGATTGTAATCTAAATGTAATCCGAGTGTATTCTGAGTAATCCAAGTGTATTCTGATCATAATCTGTATTATGAGTGTATCTTAATGTAATGTGGGTGTAATCCGAGTATATTCTGAGTAATCCGAGAGTAATTTGAGTTCTGCTTTAGTTTCCCTTCAGAGTGGAGCAGCCGCTTGTGGAGCTGCACGTTCACAGTGTTTGGACGCAGGTTTCTGATTCGACAGTGAGACTGACGGTCGCCTCCAGTTACCAGCGCAGCTCCTGGGACTGGGTGGCCATCTACAAGGCAAGTCACAGGCAGCGTCTGTGTGTTCATGATACAAGACCCACTGTTCCTCTGTTCCAGGTGGGATTCAGGCATCACAAAGACTACCAGGCCTACGTGTGGGCCAAGGGAGACCATGTGGCACAGGTAGAGACACAGAAACACACACAGACACAGAGAGACTGAGACACACAGACAGAGAGAGACACACACACAGAGACAAAGACAGACACACATGCGCATATGCACACACAGACAGACACACACACAGAGATGGACAGACACACTGACAGACACACACACGCAGACAGAAACAGGGACAGAAAGACAGACACACACAGAGACACAGACATACACAGAGATGCACAGAGATAGATAGACACAGAGAGACACACACACACACACACACACACACAGGGACGCACGCAGACAGACAGACACTTAGAGACAGAATGACAGACACACACACAGAGACACAGACACACACAGAGACAGAGTAACCCTACCTCTGCATGTTCCGCTGTCCCTGTCTGTTGTAGGTGACTTTCCCAGAAGAGGAGTTGCCAAAGGAAGACTGTGACTACATCCTGGGCTTCTACAGCAGCTGCATGAACAGTATTGTGGGGCTGTCGGCGCCGGTTCAGGTACAAAACTAACTATAACATCAAAACAGCTGCAGTAATAACACACATGTTGATCCCCGGGACGTGCGGTGAGGTTTGTGATTGGGGAGGCACTGACTTTAAAAGTCAGATTTACAATCATTATTCAAATAAAATAGCATTTAATCACCAATGCAATGACATCCACAAACTTTATATACTGTAAAGATAAGAGAACCAGCTTCTTTTAATAATCTCACAACAAATCTAGCTGCTGACTCTGCTCCGCATCAAACAACATCTTTAAGAAGCGCAGGTGCGAGAGACGCGAGGAGAGAGAGACGCGAGGAGAGAGGAGCAGAGAGAGACAGAGAGGAGCAGAGAGACGGAGACGCGAGGAGCAGAGAGAGACGGAGACGCGAGGAGAGAGAGACGCGAGGAGAGAGGAGCAGAGAGAGACAGAGAGGAGCAGAGAGACGGAGACGCGAGGAGCAGAGAGAGACGGAGACGCGAGGAGAGAGAGACGCGAGGAGAGAGGAGCAGAGAGAGACAGAGAGGAGCAGAGAGACGGAGACGCGAGGAGCAGAGAGAGACAGAGAGGAGCAGAGAGACGGAGACGCGAGGAGCAGAGAGAGACAGAGAGGAGCAGAGAGACGGAGACGCGAGGAGCAGAGAGAGACGGAGACGCGAGGAGAGAGAGACGCGAGGAACATAAACAATAATTTAAACAAGTTGCAGAACTCTTGAGCAGTGTTTGAATCAGTGTTTTTCGGAAAAGCACTACTTTGCCGGTATCTGTCAATGTTCAACATAAAACACAGATTAACAAACTCCTCCCCCGCAGCCGGACTAACCTCGTAAGTCCAGTGGTGGTCTCCCAGTCTATATTAATTCTTTCTTTGTTTGAAAGTCCAATTGAGAAAAAAAATCTTCATTCAAATCATCCATTTTCCAGCAAAAGAAATAGCATTTTGGGCTGATTGTTTGTTAGCAACTCTGGTATGAACTTTATGCTCACTATCACCCCTAGCGGTGAGGCACAGATACCGCCTGCCTCACGCCAAGCTTTTTCCTTGTGTGTTCATCTACGATCAAAAGACTTAAACTAAATATAAATTGTACACACATACGTGCAATACACTACTAAACACTAAGAGGAGTTTAAAAAATGTTTTTAAAGCAGGATATTTGAAACAAACGGTGATATATCAACTGCACGAGCTGAGTGCACTCAGACACACACACACACACTGTGAGGGAGCGGTCTGGGGTGAGGCACGCAGGAGCGCTGCCTCACCTCGTCTCTTTGAATAGGAATAACGGGATTTCGGCGATTTTGACTTCAGAAATGATCAAAACTGATGGGAACCGTGCCGAATATACATTAAAAGCATAGGACAGTGGATATAAATTATATATTTAAACTAAAATAATTATTAGTTTCCAATAATGGCAGGTGAGGCTCTGCCTCCCCTGCCTCCCCTGACTGCACGTCCCTGGTTGATCCACAGATACACATGCCCATCCACAGCCCCACGCTGCAGAGACTCGGCAGCTCCGACCTCAGCTCAGAGGACGATAGCACCATGGAGCTGCTGGCTGGAGGCTCCCCCAGCCCCAGTCCTCAGACCGGCAAGCAGCGCCTCAGCCTCAGCCGCAGCCCGGTCCTCAGCTCCAATCCTCTCCCCTCGCTGCAGGGCCTCAGCCTCAGTCCCACAACAAAGGTCCAGGTGTCAGCAAAGAAGGAGCGACTGGTTTCTCCAGACGTGGCTCCTGCTGTGGTTAGCCCCCTCAGGGTGTCTGCTCCTGAGGCACTGGTCGCCGCCATCCTGGGAGAGAACCTGCACTCAGGGTTAAAGCCCTCCACATGAGCCCTCTCTGTAGGCTCTCACAGACCTCCTGCTTTAGAGCCAGCAGCATCAGCAGCAGTAGCTTTACAACATTCCTCGGTCATTAATAGATCTACTGCATTATGTGACAAACATGTTATAGATCAGCACAGTGCAGATTCAAACGCTTATATCACATGAAACATATGGGAATAGGACCAGAAGGAAAATATCCCGGACATCAGACTCGGACAGCGTGAGCTTACAGAAGCAGAAGGAAATAAATGGTTGTATTCTTCGTTGTCTCTTTCTTTAAAAAGACACATCAAATACAACAAACGATGAGTTGTTGAATGTGATGAGAATAATAAAAAGCCTGAATATCAACCCCAAACTAATGACGTTTACAGTATATGGTTGTGGGAGTATTGTAATCGCCTCAGTGTGTGTGTATGTGAGCAGATGAACTAATCCGTCACCTTTTATATATGTACAGAACTTACCCATGATTTAAAAATAAAATGTCACTGTCAGTGAGAGAGACCAGAGTGCACAGGGAGAGAGAGAGAGCAGATAGAGGGGGAGAGAGGGGGCAGTTTCTGGATGTGGATGAGTCTGATCCGCAGTGACAGCAGACCAGCAAACACCATGAACGGTCTCCTTCACTCTGCGGTGGATGAAGAGTGTTTCCTCTTCACCTCTGAGTCTGTGGGAGAAGGACACCCAGGTGAGAGCCACACAACCCGCTCCTAACATGGTCCTAACCCTGTGGACCTACACATGTGCGCTGTGTACGTTAGCATTAGCATTAGCACCTGTATTAGCATTAACTAGCCTCTGCGCTAGCTTCACGTGGAAGCTCATGTTAGTAACAAGAAAGATTGTGGTGATTTATTGTTATTAAACTACTAAAATACCATGTGAATGAATTGAATCCACATGGTTTTGTGTCACACACTACAAACTAGTGTACACACCTCACAGTATAATCAGATTTCTTTATTACCTACTGTTTATAAGCATGATGGAATGACGTGTACGTGTAGCTTAGTTGTGTATGTCTGTGTAACATAGACTGTTTATATAGTTTGTGTATATACAACGTTAGAAGTACACACACACAGTATTGACGTACAGTATTGGGAGACACAGCGCTTGATGGTATCTGTACAGTCTGATTAGGGTCTGGATCACATCTAGGTTCATAAGGCTCAATTTGAAGTCCCTTTAGGGCTGGTCTGTCTGTCCTCACAGCCTCAGAGCAGCTGATAATAGGCTTACATTACATGGGCTGACCACACTCTTAATACATCAAGAGTCTATACTCCTAATAACAGTCAGTGTAAAGATTATAATATGAAAGTCAGATATTTAGATTGTTAGTGGATGAACATTATTAGCTTGAAGCACAAAGTTGTATGTGACTCGTGTCCATGTTACATCTGTTTTCTCAGATAAGATCTGTGACCAAATCAGTGATGCAGTGTTGGACGCACACCTGATGCAGGACCCTGATGCCAAAGTGGCCTGTGGTAAGTGAGTCCAGCCTCACGTATAAACAACCTGCTGAGCTCAGTGTTTCTGTGGTGTTTCAGAGACTGTGGCTAAGACGGGGATGATCCTGCTGGCGGGGGAGATCACCTCTCGGGCGAATGTTGATTATCAGAAAGTGGTGCGTGAGACAATAAAACACATCGGCTACGACGATTCTTCCAAAGGTACAAGTCACAGTTTTATTATTGTGAAAACCCAATTACTTTAGATGCCCAAGGCCCTGTGAATATGGTCTTTATATGGTCTAAATGTAAATCTTTATCCTTCTAAAGTCCAGTTTTCATTCATATTACCCTTGTGCAGTTTCACTGACTTTACTTTAAAGCCATGTTGCCAACAGTCTCTAATTAGAGCATTGTTCCAGTGGCTATTGACATTAGAACTTCGGTTACCTTTTTTTTCTGTTCCGTCTTCAAATGAAAGATTGCCATGAGTTATGTGTATCTCAGAAAGAGATGTGAGGAGGAGATTTCTAGGGTTGACACTTATACGTCTGTGTCCAGGGTTTGATTATAAAACCTGTAATGTGCTGGTGGCGTTGGAGCAGCAGTCCCCAGACATCGCTCAGGGAGTTCATCTCGACCGTAAAGAGGAGGACGTCGGTGCCGGAGACCAGGTCCTGCCTCCACTTGAGCGTTTGTGTTTCAGACTGAAGTGTTGGACTCACTGTGTCTCTGCAGGGGCTGATGTTTGGGTACGCCACCGACGAGACCGAGGAGTGTATGCCCCTCACTATAATCCTGGCTCACAAACTCAACGCCAAACTGGCAGAGCTGCGCAGAGACGGGACGCTGCCCTGGCTCAGGCCGGACTCTAAGACCCAGGTAGGACTTAAAAAGGACTTATCCCAGACTCTTATGACACAGGTAGGGTCAACTCTGGGTAAGCTCCCCACGCTGAAAGCGCTTATGTGTATGATTTTTTTTTAAAGAAAGTGTTTCTTTAAATGAAAACAAAAGTGTGTGAATATATGTTTGTGTGTGTGTGTGCGTCAGGTGACTGTGCAGTACCGGCAGGACCGTGGCGCCATGCTTCCGTTACGAGTTCACACCATCGTGATCTCGGTGCAGCATGATGAGACGGTGAGTCTGGAGGAGATGCGTCTGTCTCTGAAGGAGCAGGTGGTCAGAGCCGTGGTCCCCAGCGGTTACCTGGACAACAACACCATTTACCACCTACAGCCCAGCGGCCGCTTCGTCATCGGAGGCCCTCAGGTACCGCCGTCTGAACCACTGTCAGCGTGCGTTTGGCTAAGTTCAGGTGTTTACAGGGAGATGCTGGTCTGACCGGTCGGAAAATAATTGTTGATACATATGGAGGTTGGGGCGCTCATGGGGGCGGAGCCTTCTCTGGAAAGGACTACACCAAAGTGGACCGCTCTGCTGCCTATGCTGCTCGCTGGGTGGCCAAGTCTCTGGTTAAAGCTGGGCTCTGCAGGCGCGTCTTAGTCCAGGTCAGAAATACTGTGTGACTAAGGCTTGGTATTCTCTTGCAGATGCAATTCTTCATTTCTGTTTCAACTTGTCGTATATTTCCCAGTTTCCTTGGAGATGGTATCTTGACAGATATTTTTAATATTCATCAAATATGCTTGAGCTAAAGCTGAGTTTCCCTAGACACGGTCCGCATGTGTTGTAGGTGTCCTATGCCATCGGCGTCTCCCATCCTCTGTCTGTCTCCATCTTTAACTACGGCACGTCTCAGAGAAGCGAGCGTGAGCTACTGGACATTGTGATGAAAAACTTTGACCTGCGTCCTGGAGTCATTGTCAGGTGAAGGAAGATGTGTAGGATAAACAATCCCAGTGTATTTATGAACCAGGGTTTTTCTCTTCTACAGAGACCTGGACCTGAAGAAGGCCATCTACCAGCAGACGGCAGCCTACGGCCACTTTGGGCGAGACATGTTTCCGTGGGAGCTGCCCAAACAGCTAAAGTTCTAACTGTCTCTGTCCCTCTGGCTTCTTCTCTCTCAGTCTGAACACTGCGTAGAATCATTGCTTTATAATTGTTTACATATTGTGTCTGATGTCAACACCGTTAAAGGCCAAGGTAATGATGTGTGTCCCGTTTATCTCCTGTAATTTCATATTTATTATTTAGTGACGCTGTAATCCACAACTCAAACTCTCATTACATTTTATGATATGAATTGAAATAGTTCTCTCCCAAAGCACAGAGTAAAATCTGGACCTGTCTCTTCAAACCATTGCATTCTGACGTTTTACAGACAAGTCAGAAGCTGCTAATAATGTTATGGTTTTGTTGAGCTGCACTACTTCCTATTTAAAGTTAATTTAATTTAGTGAATGTTTGACGTCAGTGTGGCGTTGCAGAGCGTGTGGTGGAGCCAGAAAGTTCTCTCTCCTTAGATTATATCTGTAATCTCTCTAATATTTGATCAGTTGCATTTGAAACTCTAGCTGCAGTATCTACTCGTACAAAGTCAGGGCAACCTCTGCAGACATGACTGACAATCTTGTGACAGATAGATACCTTGATATCTATGTAACGTACGACGCCCAAATTGTGTCGTAAACCTAAAAAACAACTTGTGGTGAAGACGGCTCCTGTGGTTTAAACTGTTCTGAGTGTTGTGTGATGTTCTCTGGCGTCTCTCTGGTCTCACGTTGTTGCACTGTAGCACTGTTGTTTTCCTGGAACACATTGTTTATAGCTGAATCATAGATCAAGGCTTGCACCCTCAGACTGAGCTGTGGCGCCCCCATGTGGTCTTTGGTGTGTACTACAGAGAAACGCCAGGCCCACTGTGGGTGGAGCATGTCTACAGCAGCTGTTCCCCACACAGGCTCCACATGAGCTGGTGTTGTACAGAGAAACCAGCTGTTTACAAGAGCCTCTGTGGGACTGTGTTAAAGTTACAGTTGAGTCTTAAATTCAGAAGTGCCTTGTTGAGTATTTTCGCCTGTGTAGAAGCTAAATGATTTTTTTGAATAATACTGTTAAGTGACTTTCTGAAAACCTCTAATAAACTGCATTATTCTGTGTCTGTGTCCTGAAATATAAGCTACGGAGATAATTTAGTTTAAATGTTTATTGGTCATGTTCATTCATAGAAAAAGAAACGGTATTGGCTAATAAAGGAGTAATGATAAGTAAATGCATAAACTAAATCCACATAATGAAGAAACAGGTAAAGGTTGAGGCGAATGTTACACTGCAGTGACTTCTTCAAACGTTCACTCGTTTCCAGGCGAATCTCTGACAGTAGAACACGGTCTGAGAAGCAGAGACAGTTTTACACTTGAGACCTGAGAGTATCTTGCAGTGAGACAGACTTACTCCACATCTGAGCGCAGAGCCAAAGTCTCTGCACCTGAACGCCTCCTCAGAGCACGGATCTGAAGCACAGACAGAGTTATTCACTGGCTCAAGCGGCTGCTGTCGTGTGGGGCAGAAACAAACCCAGTGTTTCCTCGTAGCTCCTGCACAGACGCAGCAGCTCGCAGATGGAGCGTGGCGTGGCGTAGCTCAGGATGGCGTCGATCACGGTCTTGCTGAACTTTCCCACAACGTCCTCACACTGCTGCTGCTGTGAAGAGGGCAGGATGTGGCAGATGTCCTCCAGCAGGCGGACCACTGCGTCCTGAAACACAAGCTTCACTTCTGATGCTTGGACACCGTTTCAGATTTTTTTACTTGGCTTCAAACAAAGATGGGAAATGTAATGCTCTGCTGTGGAGTATTCCCATCACAGTACTAACCAAGCCCCGTCATACTTAGCTTCTGTGATCACTGTAGTACATCACCTGCTCTTTGATCACGGACTAGAGTACAACACCAGTTAGACCCCCCATTGGTCTAACTACATCTTACAGGTGGTGTTCATGCCCAGGACTGTATTAAATCATAATTAACATTTAGGATGAGACTACAAACTCAGATTGTTAAAACCCCAAACCTGGTTCTGGTTTGTCTCAGGACTTTACAAAGTTGTGGATTCAGAGACAACAGATCAGAGAATCAAACTGTTCATAACCACCAACACACAGAGCTATCTACAGAGGTTGTAGATCCAGGACTGAGGCTGTAGATGCAGTATCAACACACTCCTGTGGGGGCTATAGCCTCACTATAAAGGCGCTGCTCTGGTTGTCACGTCCAAACTGACCTCAGTGCGTTGCTTTGGCAGTAAACCCTCCAGTGTTCTCATCAGAAAGAGGCAGAAGGAGCAGGCGTTTCTCCTTGGATCCTATAAAAACACACTCACATTAATGAGTTCTCCTTTGTTCTGTTCATGTGTCTGACCTTACATTCAAAATGGCCGCAGTGTCCAGTGCATCCTTCACAAAGTCACCAAACAGCCGTGCGTCAAAGGTTTGGCAGAGACCCAGCTTTTGGCAAGTCTCAGCTGGCTTCTGAAACAACAGGAGTCAGATAGGTCATGTTGATTCTAGAGTGATCTCTGTACTTACAGTTCCATGAGTGAGGAAGTCAATGACTGCAGGGATCACCCTCTTCACTTCTTCTTTGCACAGGATCACAGCGCTCCTAGACGCCGGTATACGCTCACACAGCACCTGCACACCTTTCACCAGCTTCTCCTGTGGGAACGTAGAGTAAACCAGGCTCTCAAAGATCCACAATGTTTGTAACACAGAAATGTCAACAAATAAAGTATGAAATACAGTATTTTCAGAGGTGACAGTGGGAACCCTCACTCTGTGACTGGTCTCTTTCTGTCTAAACAGTAACGAGTCGCATGAGATGAAGGAATAATCAAAATTAAAGCCCCAAGCGGCGTCAAACGGCCCTCGCCGCACCGCACACACCACCCCGCACCGCGCGCACCACCCCGCACCGCACGCACCACCCCGCCCCGCATCAAGCCGCCCCGCATCAAGCCGCCCCGCACCAAGCCGCCCCGCACCAAGCCGCCCCGCACCAAGCCGCCCCGCACCAAGCCGCCCCGCACCAAGCCGCCCCGCACCAAGCCGCTCCGCACCAAGCCGCTCCGCACCAAGCCGCTCCGCACCAAGCCGCTCCGCACCAAGCCGCTCCGCACCAAGCCGCCCCGCACCAAGCCGCCCCGCACCAAGCCGCCCCGCACCAAGCGGATCTGCACCACGCCGCCCCGCACCAAGCCGCAACGCGCCGCTCCACAACCCCCCGCACTACGCCGCACCATACCGTACCACGCAGCACCGCGCAAAGGAGGTGGGGATGTTTTGATGATTGTGATGATTTGTTGCTGTTGCCATAGAAGAACGTTAGTCAAATTGTAATGAATATGATGATTAGAGCTGTTTGGCACCCCATGTAAAACTTTGCCTCAATCTGTAGGGGGCGCTATTGAGCCTTCACTTTCAATTGACCTAGACCCTAGAGTTGAACCATGTATTCAAGTTTTGTGCAAATTGGAATTTGTATGTGTAAACGGGAGCAAATAGAATGTTGTGAAAAACGGCCAATAAACACTCACATTTAGCCGCTCCGCTGCTCAAACAACGTTTCACTGATCACATGGTACATGTGCTTAGACGATGTGGAGTGATATGGAGGCCAATCGGTGAAACGGCCGAGGAGGAGTCGCTTTCCAACCGACATGTATGAAAATTATTGCGGATCATTTTTCCATTTTACAGTGAAATTTATGGGCCTCCTGTTTGTCAGAGGGCGGAGCCATGATAACATTTTGGTCGTATCTTGACTTGAGGAACATGTGTACCGAATTTCATGGCTCTACGACAAAACTTGACCTCTGAAACTCCCATTGGCTCTTGTAGGTGGCGCTGTTCTGGCATTTTTTGAGTCCCATAAAAATAAACACCAAAATATCAAATTCTTCACCAGGTCTGATGTTTGGGCAACATTTTTCATGCATGTTCAGGGGGTGAAATTAAGGCTCAAAGTGCAGAATTTGACATCTCTCGAGCAAAAACAATAGGCCCTTTCCCCGTTCGGGGCTCGGGCCTAATAATCAAGTTAATCAGCTGCATTTTAGACATGCACGCTAGTCAAGTATAGATAGTCAAATAGAGAAATTATTCAAGTGCTATTTCAGAATCAATGGATATTTTCATCCACTTGACATTTGACTGTGATTTGTGTAAAGTGTTCATGTGATACAATATGATCTTTGGGATGTTGTTCACTGATAGAAATAAACTTGTTTTCTTCACAGTTGGTTTGCAGTGGGACCAGGTGTTAACAGACACTATCATTTCCTCTTTTGTGTATTTCAGAAATGAGAAGTGGTTCTGGGGCGTTCGTTAGTGAAACCGTCTGCGTCACAATCTTGTCCAAGCAAAAGAATGTGTTCCGATAAAGAGACGTTATTATTGAACAAATATCAACAAAGTTATCAGCAAAAGAATGTGTCTCACCTGGAGTTCCTTTTGGGAAAATAAGTCAGCCACGAGTTCAAGTGTGTGAGTGCAGTCTTTACATGTGTCCCCAGTCTGCAACAGAACCAGCACGTTAGACACCTGTGTGTGACACCTGTGTATGACACCTGTGTGTGAGTGCGGTCTTTACATGTGTCCCCAGTCTGCAACAGAACCAGCACGTTAGACACCTGTGTGTGTGACACCTGTGTGTGAGTGCAGTCTTTACATGTGTCCCCAGTCTGCAACAAAACCAGGACGTTAGACACCTGTGTGTGACACCTGTGCGTGACACCTGTGTGTGACACCTGTGTATGACACCTCTGTGTGACACCTGTGTGTGAATGCGGTCTTTACATGTGTCCCCAGTATGCAGGTGTGACCCACACCTGTGTATGACCCACACCTGTGTATGACCCACACCTGTATGTGTGGGTCATACACAGGTTCATGTTGTGATGTCACACAGAACCAACAGCTGATGGAAGCAAAGCAATCTGGGAAATACAGTCTGTTCTGACAATAAACTTGTGTTTGATCCCGATAAGTCAAAGTAATTTAAGAATAATAACAATAAAAGTTTCCAAACTATGAGAAGAGTTTTATATTCATACATTTCTGTTGTTTTACGTTCATCTTAATAGAAACATCTGACCTGAGTCTGTTTCAGCACGAGTCAACTAGGAAGAACTTCAGACATCAATATATTAGCACCGTAATCCTAGTTTGGTAAAGTTCTAATCACACAGACTAAAAGTGTTGGAAAAACACTGGTCTGTATTAATATAACATAAAATAAATATATACTTTGTTCGTAAGTGCAGTGCAGGGGTCTCCCATCTGTGGCTTGGGAGCTACAGTGCCTTGCGAAAGTAACATTTCGCCACATTTCAGGCTTCAAACATAAAGATATAAAATTTCATGAATCAACAACAAGTGGGACACAATCGTGAAGTGGAACGAAATTTATTGGATAATATAAACTTTTTTAACAAATAAAAAACTGAAAAGTGGGGCGTGCAATATTATTCGGCCCCTTTACTTTCATTGCAGCAAACTCACTCCAGAAGTTCAGTGAGGATCTTTGAATGATCCAATGTTGTCCTAAATGACTGATGATGATAAATAGAATGCACCTGTGTGTAAACAAGTCTCCGTATAAATGCACCTGCTCTTTGATAGACTCAGGGTTCTGTTTAAAGCGCAGAGAGAACCATGAAGACAAAGGAACACACCAGGCAGGTCCGAGATACTGTTGTGGAGAAGTTTAAAGCTGGATTTGGATACAAAAAGATTTCCCAAGCTTTAAACATCTCAAGGAGCACTGTTCAAGCAATTATATTGAAATGGAAGGAGTATCAGACCACTGCAATTCTACCAAGACCCGGCCGTCCCTCCAAACTTTCATCTCAAACAAGGAGAAGACTGATCAGAGATGCAGCCAAGAGGCCCATGATCACTCTGGATGAACTGCAGATAACTACAGCTGAGGTGGGAGAGTCTGTCCATAGGACAACAATCAGTCGTGCACTGCACAAATCTGGCCTTTAAGGAAGAGTGGCAAGAAGAAAGCCATTTCTCAAAGATATCCATAAAAAGTCTTGTTTGCCGCAAGCCACCTGGGAGACACACCAAACATGTGGAAGAAGGTGCTCTGGTCAGATGAAACCAAAATCAAACTTTTTGGCCACAATGCAAAACGATATGTTTGGCGTAAAAGCAACACAGCTCATCACCCTGAACACACCATCCCCACTGTCAAACATGGTGGTGGCAGCATCATGCTTTGGGCCTGCTTTTCTTCAGCAGGGACAGGGAAGATGGCTAAAATTGATGAGAAGATGGATGGAGCCAAATACAGGACCATTCTGGAAGAAAACCTGTTGGAGTCTGCAAAAGACCCGAGACTGGGACGGAGATTTATCTTCCAACAGGACAATGATCCAAAACATAAAGCCAAATCTACAATGGAATGGTTCACAAATAGACGTATCCAGGTGTTAGAATGGCCAAGTCAAAGTCCAGACCTGAATCCAATCGAGAATCTGTGGAAAGAGCTGAAGACTGCTGTTCACAAACGCTCTCCATCCAACCTCACTGAGCTCGAGCTGTTTTGCAAGGAAGAATGGGAAAGAATTCCAGTCTCTCGATGTGCAAAACTGATAGAGACATACCCCAAGCAACTTGCAGCTGTAATTGCAGCAAAAGGTGGCGCTACAAAGTATTAGCGCAAGGGGGCCGAATAATATTGCACGCCCCACTTTTCAGTTTTTTATTTGTTAAAAAAGTTTAAATTATCCAATAAATTTCGTTCCACTTCACAATTGTGTCCCACTTGTTGTTGATTCTTGAATTTTTTTTAAATTTTTATATCTTTATGTTTAAAGCCTGAAATGTGGCAAAATGTTGAAAGGTTCAAGGGGGCCGAATACTTTCGCAAGGCACTATACCTGTAGCTCGCCAACCCTTTTCAGGTATCTCCCCAAAGGATTCAGGAACTTTACACATGATCCTAAATGAATAGATATTGAGTCGTCGCATTTAATTCTATTGTAGGTTTTACACTAATATGGAACGTTAAACTGTATAAATGTCTTCTGACTGTCCGCAGTTATTACACTATAGTTTAACTACGTCTGCAGAAAAGGCTCTCTGGCATTTGTGAGATTTGTGGCTGAAGATTATCTGTGGTCTAAATTCTGCATTTGTCTCATGCTTTATGTTTATTTTACAATCCAGCCATGAAGATTAAGTTTGAACTCTGACTTCCTGATTTAGAAGACCCAAGTGTCGTTCCCTTTTCTCACTTTCATTGGCGTTGTGGTTTTGAACCTGTGTGTGTATATGTGTGCGTATGAAGCTTTCTGTGTGTGTGTGCGTACGTGTATGTCTGTGTGTGTGTGTGTGTACGTGTAGGTCTATGTGTTTGAATGTGTATGTGTGTGCGTACGTGTAGGTCTCTGTGTGTGTATGTGTGCGTATGTAGGCTTCTATGCGTGCGTGTAGCGCTACGTGTGTGTAAGTAATCTTTATTTATATACCGCCTTTTCACTGCAGATCTGAGTCTCAAAGCGGTTTACAATTGTTATTATTTTATTTTGGGCATTTGTCTCTCACTCCACACAGAGATGGGAGGGGCCAGTACAGGAGGCGCATGCCAGAACTATTGTACATATTTTTAGTGGTAGGGGAAACCGGAGTACCCGGAGGAAACCTACGCAGACACGGGGAGAACATGCAAACTCCACTCAGAAAGGCCCTGGTCCGACCGGGATTCGAACTCAGGACCTTCTTGCTGAGAGGCGAGAGTGCTATCCACTCAGCCACCGTGCCGCCCCGTGTGTATGTGTGTGCGTCCGTGTAGGTCTCTGTGTGTATGTCTGCGTATGTAGCTTTCTGTGTGTGTGTGTGTGTGCGTACGTGTATGTCTCTCTGTATGTGTGTGCGTGTGTGTATGTCTCTGTAAATGTGCGTACGTACGTGTAGGTCTCTGCGTGTGTAGGTCTATGTGCCTGTATGTGTGCGTATGTAGGTTTCAATGCGTGTGTGTAGCTCTACATGTGTGTATGTGTGTGCGTCTGTGTAGGTCTATACGTGTGTGCGTGTGTGTGAGTGCAGGTCTTTGTTTCTGTATAAGTGTGTGTGTGTGTGTGTGTGCAAGTCAATATATGTGTATGTGTGTGCGTCTGTGTGGGTCCATGTGTGTGTTTGTATAGGTGTCTGTGCATGCGTGTGAGTGCGTTTCTGTGTGTTTTTGCTGCTGTAAAATGAATATAGTTTTAAGCAAAGGCCAGAGCAGGATGAGTTGTGGTGAAAGACTTTACCCGGTTTGAGTCCCACAGTGAGCGGTCGACAGCCACGACAGATTCTGTTGACGTCCCTAAACAAAAAAACACAAATTCATATTTAGCGAATTTGGCAAAAAACAAACACAAACAAGATCAATGAAGTGTGGGAGAACCTAGATCTACTCACTACATAATCTCAACTCGACAGTGTCCTTGCCTCAGTTGATGTTTCTCTTATTCCCAGTTAAAGTCTGTGCTGTTTCTTACCGAGTGTCTGGAGGCTGATGAGGAGGAGCAGAGTCAGAGCAGGAGAGGCCATGGCCGAAAACCAACCGTACGAATGTGAACAGTAGAGTGGGCTCTTGGTTTATATAGAACAGTCCCCCCCGTCAGTCTGATAACACGTCTGCTTCAGCCTATAGACTAGCCTCTCATTTCAATAATCCACTTCAAACTAATTTTTCCCATGTTCCTGAGCCTCAATATCAGCGGCTTTCAAACTATCTGTGGACAGAGCTTTAGTTTCACACAGAACAGCAGCGTTTTTACTGTTACTGTACTTGGTCGTTTTATTGGTATATTTACTTTTACTCGAAACCCTACCACCTCCACTTTCTGCTCCTTACATTATAAAATGGCCAGTTCTTCTCAGATGGCGACATGCTATGAAAACAGTGTTGAAGTGGTTAGCCGTGCTTCTAAGGGGATTCATCAAGCAAGGTTTAAACACCTGGGCTGTGTGGTTTTAAGTCCAAAGACGTTTAACACACAAGTTTTCAATAATGTAAGTATTTTTTTTTTTTACAAAACAATACATAGTTCTCATGTTCAGTTTAACATCCTGCAGAAGAACTAAGTTTACGGTTTGTGCTCATGCTGTGTGTTGCCATGGTAAAGGCTGTGTGTTGCCATGGTGACGGCTGTGTGTTGCCATGGTGAAGGCTGAGTGTCGGCATGGTGACGGCTGTGTGTTGCCAAGGTGAAGGCTGTGAGTTGCCATGGTGACGGCTGTGTGTTACCATGGTGACGGCTGTGTTACCATGGTGACGGTTGTGTGTATCCATGGTGATATTGATAGATACAGTCGATAGATACTTTATTGATCCCCCGTAGAAGAAATTCAGGTGTCCAGCAGCAGAAGACCCATCCAGGTTTGTTGTACAGTCTGACAGCTGAAGGAACAAAGGATTGCGTTGCATTGGAATCTTGACTGAGAGTTTGATAAATGTTGTTAGCCGTGCTTCTAACTACAGATAACCCTTTAACAGTTTTGTTTTATTGTGTTTATGTTTAATCTCTTGTTCTGTCGAGCACTTCCCCGGGGCATGAATTGTGCTATACGAATAAACAGAAGTCTAAAGTGATGATCGAGTATTTCACAAAAGAGCTGCATTGAAAGTCTTGCATTCTATCTTGAACTATTTTTATAAATCCAGATTGAATACAACATAATAACATTAGATCTAGAGCTGAGTAAACCTCACCACATGCTGTTTGTTTTTTCTACAGAACCAGGTTTTAAACAAACACACTGCTTCATTTTTTCACTTCCGTCTTTCTAAATGTCAGGGCCTTTGTGAAACATGCTCTTTTTTTTGTTAGTGTTCTGGATGTATTGTATATTATTGATTGATTTTTTTTCAGCAGAAATTGTATAATATAATATTTAAATACTTAAATATATAAATATTTACATTCCTTAGTTTACAAAACGTTTTATACATGTTGCCTGCGGTGTTTACAGTATATTCTTATAAATGCAAATATATAAACATAATCAAGCAACAATAACTTCCCTAGTTTCACCATGTATTGTACATCTACAAAATGTATTTACAAATGAATTTCTATTTACAATTTTTCAGGTCGAAATGGAGTGGGAAGGAAGTGAAAACGTGTAGATCCCCACCCCATAAACATAATTCAAATTAAAAATGTTGTTATTTAGCAATGAGTAAATAATACCTGTATAATAATTTTCCAGCAAGGCCCAGCGCCTCGACACAGACCAGTCCCAGTCACAAGAAGCAGCTACAAAACAGTAGACCAATAATGCAGGTGACTATATGCACTCTTTGATCTTTTTGAGTAATAGTAATGAAATAGTCACATCAATATTATTATCATTATAGATGACATGACAAGATTATTTTAAAATTCATCCTTCACATAATTTACTTTGCTTTAGTAGTCATATAATACTTTTATCATAAACCGTGTTTCATAAATAACTTTTAAATACATGGTGCCATCTGCTGTTAACTGTAGCGAATGAAAGATGGACTGAAACAGATTGTGCCTGATCCTGGTTAGAATCAAATAAACAACAGTTTATTTTTTACTTTTATAATTATTAACTGTGGATTTACAGGAAAAACAATCCACTCTACAACATGTGGTGATATTACAGGGAGAGCTCTCTCTCTCTCTGTTGAGCTCCCTCTCTCTGCTGAGCTCTCTCTCTCTCACTGTTGAGCTCTCTCTCTCTCACTGTTGAGCTCTCTCTCTCAGTTGAGTTCTCTCTCTCTCTCACTGTTGAGCTCTCTCTCTCAGTTGAGTTCTCTTTCTCTCTCTCTGTTGAGCTCTCTCTCTCTCTCTCACTGTTGAGCTCTCTCTCTCTCTGTTGAGTTCTCTCTCTCACTGTTGAGCTCTCTCTCACTGTTGAGCTCTCTCTCTCACTCTGTTGAAGTCTCTCTCTCTGTTGAGTTCTCTCTCTCTGTTGAGTTCTCTCTCTCTCTCTCTCTGGTGAGCTCTCTTACTCTGGTGAGCTCTCTCTCTCTGTTGAGTTCTCTCTCTCACTGTTGAGCTCTCTCTCACTGTGAGCTCTCTCTCACTGCTGAGCTCTCTCTCACTGTTGAGCTCTCTCTCTCTCTCACTGTTGAGCTCTCTCTCTCTGGTGAGCTTTCTCACTCTGTTGAACTCTCTCTCTCTGTTGAGTTCTCTCTCTCTCTCTCTCTGGTGAGCTCTCTTACTCTGATGAGCTCTCTCTCTCTGGTGAGCTCTCTCTCTCTGGTATTCAATGATTGTACATGGTTGATTTCCATGACTAGAACAAAAAGGCTTTAGAGGAACCAGTGGAGACTGACAACATTCTTTTTCATTATGAGGAACGATCTAGCAAAGCTAAAAACTAACTAAGTAGAAGGTAAATTGTTGAAAAGCGCCATTTTCTTTACACGTAGCAATCTGTAAATAGTTAGACAACTTAACTTTTATGCAAAAAACGGTATGCATACCGTTGACAATTTAAAGTAGAATCAGGGTCTGTGACTCTCAGACCATTAGAACTCTGTATTAAACCCGTGTATTAGTTCTGGCTCTAAAACAGTTGCTTCTGTCACTAGTTTCACGTCATGTATTTCTGCCTCTGTCACATCTTTAGATCAAAGAGAGGAACACCCTCACTCAGCTCTCAGCCCAAAGATAGTGACTAAAAAGGCTGAAGAGATGAAGACAGTATGTTGTGGTCTGGTTTGTTGACCACATTCAGATAAATAACACATTTTTCATCTTAAAAAAGATCTCAATAATTCAATGAATCAAGACACACAGTGAAGTCAGTCAACCCACACTGAGACAATGGAAACAGGATGGAAACTTTTCTGTGCTTCTCGGCTATTGTCTGAAAAACAAAACTGACTTTACAGTTACACAGTGACACTTCCTTTTGAAAGACAAAGATGATAAATACCCAAGTTAAAGACACAAGAACAAAGACACTGTGACAGGCGAAGACAGACCACATTGTGTTCAGTGTGTGGTCGACAAAGACAGAAGCCTCTTGTGAAAAACTGTACGTACTGTAATCACAACATGCTGGTGAGGAGCACTTTTCAAGGTAATAACAAGTGTAAGGCAAGGAAGGGTAGCACAGTTCTTACATACAGTAACTCAAATTGCTGAACAAAACAAGAAAAGAAACATACAAATCAAAATAACCAATAAATAGTGATTTAAAAAAGTGTAAATACAGACATCAAACCTGAAATAGCACTTTGTGATGTATACTGAGGCCTCTAACCCTCTGATGATGGCAAAACGTAGGGTGGCTTTTCATGTAAAGTCCTCTTCTTCTCTGTTTTTCCGAGGCCATCCAGATACTTCTGCTCACAGGACTTCACCATGGTTTTACTATTTTATTAAGCAGTACTTTCGCATCAGCAAACACGTTAGCAGCACTTTACGGTCACAGGAGAATGAGAACTCAGGCTGGAGGTAATATATTCACAAGCACTAGGTCCCCATTGCCAGCCCTGGTTTAATTCTCATTTAGTCCTTGTTTAATCCTGTTTTACATCATGTTTTGGATATTTTTATGCTTTGACTAGTTTGTGTCCCTCTAACCACCTTGCGGCTCTCAGATTGGTTGCTACATGTGTGTCCGGAAGAAAAAGTTCAACAATTCATCTGCGAACGGGTCATTGTTTCCACTGACAATGGAATGGCGGCACGGTGGCTGAGTGAATAGCACTCTCGCCTCTCAGCAAGAAGGTCCTGGGTTCGAATCCCGGTTGGACCAGGGCCTTTCTGAGTGGAGTTTTTATGTTCTCCCCGTGTCTGCGTAGGTTTCCTCCGGGTGCTCTGGTTTCCCCTACCACTAAAAATATGTACAATAGGTCTGGCATGTGCCTCCTGTACTGGCACCCCCACTCCCAAAAAAAATCACAATTGTAAACCGCTTTGAGACTCTGATGTGCAGTGAAAAGGCGGTATATAAATAAAGATGACTTACTATTACTTACTGCCTCTGCCGCACCACAAGAACACGTCTGCCACACTGGACAAGCCTGTGCGCTGCAACGCACATGCCAATATTCGTACAAACGTGCATCCCCATTGACTTTCCATGGAAACTCGGCGCAATGCATGGTTCGGTGTAAACGCCCCATAAAGATAGGTGGGTATGGTGTTATGCCACTTCCTCCATTCTTTATATAGCCCAAACTGCTGCATCAAAATACTAACATTTGACAAATAGTTCATGAGATCCACCCTTTTCTGATGAATATTAATAAGGATAATGATAGACTGGTTTTATACAGCGCTTTTCTGGACGCTCAAAGACACTTTACAGCATTATTCATCCAAACACAGGGGTGATAAACTACTACTCTAGCCATAGCTGCCCTTCATAGAATTCACACACACACCAGACTCATTCTAATGCAGGTGAAGTGTCTTGCCTAAGTAACAACCACAGTTTGGCACTTTACAGCCGCCCCACTGTGGCACCTGGTGTTACCCAGAGGTCTCCCATCAGCACTAATCAGGCCCTGTCCTGCTTAGTTTCAGAGATATGAGGGGATCAGGCTTTCAGGTGGCGCCACGTTCAAAAAACATTAATAAAAATACAAGTGCGTCCTCGTGCCAACAATAAAGCGAATATGTTCAGTAATAGAAATAAATGTTTGATGGTTTATGGGATTCCAAAAAAATTCCCATCCTCTTTCCTTATTACCGTCATCCTGATCTGACTCATCAAACCTCTTTCCTTGACTCTAGTTAATCATAATCAGTGTGCTATCAAAGCACCAAACACATTAATTGCAGTCTAACATGTTTGGTGGAATTTCTCAACTTCCAACAACAAAACTCAAACTGACCAACTCACTGAAATGTGGTTTCTTACCCAACGTGACCTTGACAAACAAGGTTTCATAAAATGTAGCGTTTCTGCTTTTTCAAACTTCTTTCAAAATACTTTAGGCCTCCTATTTTAGCAACATATCCTGCTTCAGTTCATTTGAGTGAAAGATATACAGAGGTTCTTGTACTTAGAAAGAGACCCCAAAATATATGTGAAATCCATCCAATATAAGAATAGCATCAGTACAAGTTTGAAGTCTTGCAGTCCAAACCCTACTGGTCATTCTGCAGTCTTCCAGATGACTCATATTTACCAAAGAAGTCCTTAGTGGACTTTGTGCAGAGGTTGTTCAATTGGAGAAATCAGGTCAAAGCAGGCAGACGTTAGACCTGGTTAGTTTTTTTTATTACTGGGCTATCCACATGAAACATAAACCTGGCATAAAGTTCAAAGTATGCTCTGTCTGCATTTTGCAAACTAAAGTAAGTGGGTTTTAAAACATTTGACCGCCACATTATCGTCTATCCATCCATTTTCTACCCCTTAATCCATTTCTGGGTCACAGCTGCTGCCCAATTCACAGAGCCCCTCACTGAACCTGGGTCTAGAGAGTGGAGCAGGAGGGTCTTGGACTGTCTCCTGTAGAGAGTAGAACAGGAGGGTCTTGGACTGTCTCCTGTAGAGAGTGGGACAGGAGGGTCTTGGACTGTCTCCTGTAGAGAGTGGGACAGGAGGGTCTTGGACTGTCTCCTGTAGAGAGTAGGACAGGAGGGTCTTGGACTGTCTCCTGTAGAGAGTGGGACAGGAGGGTCTTGGACTGTCTCCTGTAGAGAGTGGGACAGGAGGGTCTTGGACTGTCTCCTGTAGAGAGTAGGACAGGAGGGTCTTGGACTGTCTCCTGTAGAGAGTGGGACAGGAGGGTCTTGGACTGTCTCCTGTAGAGTGGAACAGGAGGGTCTTGGACTGTCTCCTGTAGAGAGTAGAACAGGAGGGTCTTGGACTGTCTCCTGTAGAGAGTGGGACAGGAGGGTCTTGGACTGTCTCCTGTAGAGTGGAACAGGAGGGTCTTGGACTGTCTCCTGTAGAGAGTAGGACAGGAGGGTCTTGGACTGTCTCCTGTAGAGAGTGGGACAGGAGGGTCTTGGACTGTCTCCTGTAGAGAGTAGAACAGGAGGGTCTTGGACTGTCTCCTGTAGAGAGTAGAACAGGAGGGTCTTGGACTGTCTCCTGTAGAGAGTAGAACAGGAGGGTCTTGGACTGTCTCCTGTAGAGAGTAGAACAGGAGGGTCTTGGACTGTCTCCTGTAGAGAGTGGGACAGGAGGGTCTTGGACTGTCTCCTGTAGAGAGTGGGACAGGAGGGTCTTGGACTGTCTCCTGTAGAGAGTAGAACAGGAGGGTCTTGGACTGTCTCCTGTAGAGAGTAGAACAGGAGGGTCTTGGACTGTCTCCTGTAGAGAGTAGAACAGGAGGGTCTTGGACTGTCTCCTGTAGAGAGTAGAACAGGAGGGTCTTGGACTGTCTCCTGTAGAGAGTGGGACAGGAGGGTCTTGGACTGTCTCCTGTAGAGAGTGGAGCAGGGGGGTCCCGTAGCTATCTCCTTGTCCTTATTCTAATGTTGCTAATACATAAAGACTTGCAGATTCTTGTATCTAAAGAGCTGGCCAGAAATTATTTACAGACATGTTGTTGTTTGCACACATTTTCTGTTACAACCAGGAAGAAATAATGTATTTCCTTTTGTGTTGTCAGCCTATTGACAGTTTCCTGGAACGGTCTGATCATTCATCGTCTTAATGGCTTCTTTTATTATTTACTGTTCAAACCAGTTCCTTAGTTCATGGTTCAATCCTTTAATTGTATATTTTTGTTTTCCTTATTGCACTGAGATGTTGCTTCATATTTATGTCTGTACTTATACACACACATCTGTGAAGTACTGCAATTTTGACCAAAGCACAGTGAATCCATTTAACAAACACTTTCTTGGAATTTGTTGTAATAAAATGTAAAACTCAGGAGGTATCAATGTGAAGATCAATACATGTTATCATCAAGCGGACAGAGTGAGTGATTGGAGATAGTGAGGAAGGAGGAAGTGGCTTTTCTCAATAGAAGCATCACCTGCACAAGGCTCTGGGTGACGCCTCTGACTCTATTTAAACTCAGGCCCGTCAGGTTTGTCGTCACTCAGAGATCCACTGTTGGCTGAGGCTGCTGTCCACACAGGTAATTATAATATGAACTAAAACAGCAATTTACTTGACATTCTAATATAAGTCACTATCCCATGTGCGCTCCAGTATTTTCTTTTAAATCTAAATGTTTTACAGAGATGCTGCTCTCTGCTCTGTTTGTGTTGTGCCTATGCATTGTGCCTGTTCATCTGGCCCCCAATGGTATATTATTTTATCCATTTACTTTAAGACTTTTGAATTATTCTGAATCATCATCAACATATACTATTTCATTATATGTTTATGATGATATCAACATATATTTTATCCATTTACTTTAAGACTTTTGAATTATTCTGAATCATCATCAACGTATACTATTTGCTGTAGATTTCTCAAGAAGTCCCTTACTCAAGAAATGTTATGAAGATGCAAAGGAGATTGTGGATGCGGCGTACAGGTTCTCCAGAGAAGAGTGAGTGTCATTTTCAATAGACGTGGGTCAAATAAAGGTTCTTGTTTCTTTATTTAGTCAACCGTATTCAAGCACCATCTCACAACATATTGTAATCTGATCAAATTTTATGTTTTTGATATAGTTATATATATTTTATGCATTCCTAATATTCTGTTTTTAATGTATATTCACTGTTGATGGAGTTCATTTTAGTATAATAGTTGAAAGCTAAAACAAATGGAGATTGACAATACCAAACCATATTCCAATTGAGCGTAATGTCATGGGAAAGTCGTCACAAGACTTCTGAATATCTTTTCAAGGGAGGCATAATAAGTAGTATTTATACATTAACATTTCCAATTACACAATAGATAATCAGATCGATTATTTTAATTACTTTGACTAAAAAAATCATCCAACTGGTAGTGCCAGTCTTACTATTTGTCACTGTGTTCTTACATTTGTTTTGAAGGAGTCTGACTAGAGTTCGGCGAGAGGTGGTGAGGCCCCATGATGCATTGCGTCTGCTCAAACAGCCTCGAGGAGACACTCGCTCTGCGGTCCGCTCAGCAGACTACCTGGACCAGACGCTGCGGCTTCTGCAAGAAAGGACACATCATGTTCACAAGCGCTCTCTTAACGCTACAGGTCTGCCGCTCAATTACACATCAGATTTTGCTCTGTTCAAGTCAATGTTATTATTTTATATTATTGTAACTAGAATTCAATCGTCTTCTGTTTATTTAGATCTGCTCACTGAGGAGGAGCTGAAAAGTTTGGTTGAAATCACTGGATGTGCAGCAAGAGTCAGGCTGCCAAACTGTCGAACAACACCAAATGTGAACAAATATCGTACCGCAACCAGCGTGTGCAACAACCTGTGAGTACGAACAACCATGTAACCTTTTCAACTCATGTTATTCTGATGAAACAAGTGCCTGAAATGAGATGTGTTGACATTAAGGCTATATCCACACGAAGACAAAACGCTTATAATTTCAGAAACTTTTTCTGTAAACACGGAGTTAGCTCAGTAAATGTGTGCGTCCATATGAATGTAGTCAATACGCCTGAAAACGCTGTGAAACTATGCCAGACCTGTTGGTGGCGCTGTGACGCAATGACGGGATCAAGCCCAAACTTCCGTGGGCATGCGCGGAATTTTGTAAACAGACAACATGGCGAGTGGGCGAGCTGGTACAACATTAGTATGGACGGACGATGAGGTTGAACTGTTGCTTCGGTTCACACTGGATTACAAAACCAACAAGCTACATTGTTGTTGTCATTATTTTCTGAGTGCGGCGCATGCGTGCTTTAACAAGAGGCGGGGCGATGACGCAAGCGTCTCAGATACATTGCGGAGAGGCAGTAACCACGGAGCGGCATATACGGAGTTTTGAAATCTTTCCACTCTGGGACCTACTTTCAAAAATGTTCGTTTACACCCCCCCAAAACGCCGGCCTCGTATGGACGATACACTGGATTGATAAAGTATTTTTGCGTTTAGGCCTGAGCTTGACTTCGTGTGGACAGGGCCCAGGAATAATAATAATTTATCAGTTTTATATAGCGCTTTTTTGGACACTCAAAGACACTTTACTTGTCATTATTCATTCACGATGTTGAAAAACTACTACTGCAGCCACAGCTGCCCTGGGGCACATTGACAGAAGCGAGGCACAGTGACAGAAGCGCGGCAACCAGTATGTGCCATCGGCCCCTCCAACCACCACCAACCATTCACTCACATACCAGACTCATTCTAGGCCATGTGAAGGGTCTTGCCTAAGGACACAACATCCGCCCCGCTGTGGCACCTGGTGTTCCCAAGGACACAATGACAGCAGACATCAGTGGAAAATGTTTTGCGGTGGGCTCGAACCCGCGACCTTCAGCCTCAAAGGCCAATGCTCACACAACTAAGCCACTGTTGCCCTGTCTCAAGTAACAAGACTAAAGATTGAGTTTGTTCTTAGATTTATAAGAATTTCATAGTAGTATCTGGGAATTCATAAACTGATACAACTGAAATTTATGTTTTATTTCTCATATCAAAAAGAAAAGGCTTTAACAATTTAACATGATAACAATTGTTTTAACAGTCAACAAAAGAGGCACTGTCATCTTCCACTCATACAAATGCGATGCTGTAGAGTTGTTGTTTTTGTACTTCTCTGCTAGCAATAACTAATATAACGGTTGTCAGATGTTTGATCAAATTGCTGGTGTTATACATGTTTGTTTTGGACCAACCTTGTGACAGCTTTTCCTTACACAACGTACAGTCCACTTTACTCTCGTCCCTTTTTAAGTTGAAAAACTGCAATTTGACAGACATCTGCTTTCTGCCGGTTTGGCGTCAAGCTAGCGGCAAACGCTTTCTCGCAGCAGACTTTAGGAGATCACCATGGCAACACGTGCCACACAGATGGATGTCTGCTGTCGTAACGATAATGCAATTTCATAATGTGGGTATCGGTTTCCCAGATCGGGCTCTACGATATGAGTAAAAGCCTCAGTATTGACCCGATACCCAATAATAGTATCGAATTGGTGCATACCTAGTATAACTAGTATGTATAAGTTCATTAAGGCTAAGCCTTATTCCATTGAGTGTTTGTTCTTAGGCAAAGCCCTCGTCTCGGTGCTTCGAATACTCAGTTCACTCGATGGCTTCCAGCTGAGTACGATGATGGCATCTCTCAACCCAAAGGATGGAACAACCGGACAATTAATAACTTCCTGCTTCCATTGGTGTGACACACATGCCCAATGTGTTATTTATATGAACCATGCCTAACACTTATATGCTTTTATGCAGGTCAGACAGGTATCCAACAACATTTTGGCTACAACAGATGAAGGAGTGGTCAATGACACAGAGTACACTCATATGGTCACCTTGTTTGGCCAATGGAATGATCATGACTTGACTTTTACCCCATTCTCTCCGAGTATTCGCTCATTCAGCAACGGAATCAACTGTGACGAGAGCTGTGAGCGTACTGAGCCCTGCATCCCCATCGCGGTATAAGCTTCAAATTGACACAGTCTATGAAGGTCATATTGAACAGGATGTTGTCTTTCTCAGATACCTCCAGGTGACCCACGCCTGCCCACTGGGAAAGACAGCTGTATTCCAGCTTTCAGATCAGCCTCAACATGTGGAACAGGGTTTTCAGCCTATAACTTTGGTGGTGAGCCCAAAAAGAGAGAGCAAATGAATGCTCTGACTGCTTTCCTGGACTTGGGTCAAGTGTACGGCTCGGAGGAGAAGCTTGCCTTGTTCCTGCGTGATACAGAAAATGAAGGAGGGCTGATGCGGGTCAACACTGAGTTTAGAGATAATGGCAGAGAACTGCTGCCTTTCACCGGCCTGGAGATGAACATGTGCGCCACACGTAAACGAATCACTAATGACACCAATGCCAAGGAGGTGCCCTGCTTCATCGCAGGTAAGTTTAGTCTTAGTGTTCTATACATCTCCACAGTAACTGAGGATTACAGAATCTTGTTGTTTTAAGGTGACGTGCGAGTGGACGAGAACATAGCTCTGACTTCACTTCACACACTTTTCTTGAGAGAGCACAACCGCGTAGCTCGAGCTCTGAAGAGGATAAATCCCCAGTGGGACAGTGAGACGCTGTATCAGGAGTCCCGTAAAATCCTGGGAGCATACACACAAGTATGTATTCCTCAGTTGGAATTTATATTTTCCGGTTTAGATTTTATTAACCTGAAAGTATTTTGTTTTAGATATTTGTATTCAGGGACTACCTCCCCCATATCGTTGGTCCTGACGCTATGCGCAGGCTCCTTGGACGGTACCCTGGCTACAATCCCAAAGTTGACCCCAGTGTGTCCAACGTGTTTGCCACAGCTGCCTATCGCTTTGCACATTTGGCCATCCAACCCATGTTAACTCGTCTGGATGCAAACTACAGGGAGCACCCCCAGTTTCCCAGTGTGTCCCTGTACAGGTCCTTCTTCACTCCATGGCGTATCGTCTTTGAGGGTAAAGTCAAAATGAATACCTTCAGTTAACTTGATGTTTTCATTCTGACAGTTGTTGTTGTTCAGGTGGTGTGGATCCACTGATTCGTGGTTTAATTAGTTTTCCAGCCAAACTGAACACTCAGGATCACATGATGGTGGACGCTTTGAGGGAAAGACTGTTTCAGTTTGTTCAGCATCTGGCTTTGGACCTGGGCTCTCTGAACATGCAGCGAGGCCGTGAACATGGCTTGCCAGGTACATCACACTGCTTCCATCTATTGACCCCATTTTTCTACCGTTTTATCCATTGGTGGGTCATGGAGGCAGCAGCCTAAGCAGACACCCAGACTTCCCTCTCCACTCCCACTCCCTCCAGCTTATCCAGGGATATCCTGAAGTGTTCCCAGGACAGCTGAAAGACCCTTCAGGCTCCTTCCTCAGATTCAGATCAGATTCATTTATTTGCCATTTGCAGTAAAACCACATTGGAATACATTTGCAAAAGTCCCCAGTGTGCACAGACAAGTACAGACATAAAACAACATTAAAAGACAGAAATAAAACAAATAATACAGTAAACAATTGTCACTGTGAAATCGATCGACCAAAACAATATCAAAACAAGCGCATGATCATTTGGTCCTCTGGTCTCCTCTTGTTTGGACATGCAGTGAACACCTCCCCTAGGAGGCGTCCTGGAGGTATCTCAAACAGATGCCTGAGCCTCCTCAACAGGCTCATCTTGACATGGAATAGCAACCCTAATTTGAGCTCTTCCCTCTTTCTCCAAGTAAGTTTCACTCTGTGGGGGATCTGTGATCTCATTACTCAAAGCTCATGACTATAAGTGAGGGAGGGACATAGAATGAGCGGGAAATCAAGGGAGCTTTGACTTTTGACTCCTCTCCCTCTTTACTACCACAGTCTAATACAGCTCTGGCCAGAGACTGTTGCTCTTCACACTCAGCTGCAAACCATCACAGAACATGTTCGTTGTTGACCTGGTTTGTTGAAGCAAATAAGACACTGTCGTCCTCAAACAGAACTCCCTCTGGCTCAGGATTAACTCTGTACATGTTACAGTGAACAGAACCGGTGAAAAAGGAAGACTGGGTCTGCAACCTCTGTCTTCCACTCTGTTGGCGCTGTCCCAGATAAAAGACTTGTCAGCCAAGTCCAACAACATTTAGAGACTTCAACCAGCCCCCAATCTTCTCTGCACCGAACCCCCATGGATTCCTTTGTGGGTAGTGGGTAGCCGCCAACGTTCTTACGGGCTGAGTTTGGCTAAACACTGTGGCCAAAGGCCTGGGAACCAGGCACACACACACAAGCCCCAAACCTAGGCCTTGCTCCAGGGTGGGGCCCAAGCCGTGCCTTACCAGGCGATACCACAGTCCTTGAACATAAATTAATTGATTTTAAGATTCTGCCAAATAGTAAAAACATGTATTCTCATGTATACACATATTTTTGTTTCAGGATACAATGCTTGGCGTAGGTTCTGTGGTCTGTCTGCTCCCAGAAACCAGGCTGAGTTGGCTCAAGTGATGAACAACACAGAGCTTGCCCGAAAGCTGTTGGATCTCTATGGCACACCTGAAAACATTGATGTTTGGCTGGGAGGAGTTTCAGAGCCATTTGTTCGTGGAGGCCGAGTGGGTCCTCTGTTTGCATGTCTTATTGCCAATCAGTTCAAAAATATCCGACAAGGAGACAGGTCTGAACCTTTGAACCAAAAGCTTTGAATAATTGATGATATCCTTAACAATATTGGTGATTTCCAGGCTTTGGTATGAAAACCCTGGAGTGTTCACAACCAGACAGAGACTTGCCCTGTCCAGAATCACCCTCTCTAGAGTCACCTGTGATAACACTGGGATCACAACCGTACCACAGGATGCATTTAGTGTACTGTCCCGGTCAAACCGTCTTGTCCAGTGCAACAGTTTGTCTTCTGTTGACCTGACAGCCTGGAGGGAGCGAGACTGCTCAGGTAGGACATCAAACTCAATTTTATCTAGTGTGTTAACTGCATGGTATGTAATCTCTAAAATATTGTGTCTCTCTCTATGACATGTGTGTGCAGTGCCGGGTGCTAGCTGTTTTGATGAGGTCAGTTAAAAAGGCAATTCTATAACGTATCTAACAAATATAATAATCTCTCCAACCAAACTGCTGCATATTCCCCTCAAACCTGGTGCAGGTTGAGAATAACAAGAACAATATTTGTATTTATAACACAAATACAACATTTCCAGAACCTTTCACGCCTTGACATTACATTGTAATAAAGTTACACTTCTCTCTTCTGCAGAATGCAGTGTCAGAGGACCTCCCGGACCTCCAGGCCCTAGAGGAATTCTTGGACAACGAGGTACTGTCACAAGACATTGTTCAAACATTCAACCCCAGATGGTCACAGTTACAGATTGAATAATATACTGTAAATGACCCACATTCAATTACAGGGATTTTCGCAATGACCAAAAACCTTGGGTCAGTTCATACTGGCTGCCCCACGGTGCTGTGTCATTTTTACTCGGCTTTCAACCATGACCCTGCTTTGACCATGTATTTTTGCTGAGTCGTGTTAAGTGTAAACACAGCAGCCAAATATAGGAAGAATTTAGACAGCAACTTTTTTTTATCATTAGGGCATTTGTTCATCTTATGAAATACAGTAATTGTTTTCTATTACAAAATAACAATTTTGGTTAATACATGCGATGTTTGTATTATTGTCATGTTTGTCCAACACAAAAACGATATCAATTCAGCCGCGAAGATATGGATAAAGATTTAGGAAGAATAATAATATGACGGAACAGAGAGGAGACCGGTTCGGCTGTGATCAGCTCTTTTAAAAGTGTTTTTTATTCTTTATTTTTTATTCTCTCTCTCTGACTGTTGCACCGAGCCAAAGCCATTTCCAAGTCTGTGACCTCCTGTTACTAACGTGGCAATAAAAATGATTCTGATTCTAATCAAAACTTTGCAAGTTGGTGGTGAATACATCACTTGATTTGGTACTGTAAATGCCTAATTTGTGCGTTTTTTATAGCAGCACACTGATATATAATTTACAGTTAAAGCTGAAGTACAACGTAGATTTAAGTGTGAGGGGGTCAGTAAGTTGCATTGCACTGATGTTCTTCACACGGGTTTGCCGTGTGAAGAGGCCGACTGATTATAATTCTAATTCCAGCTGACATCATTTGTGTTTGTCCAGGTCCGCGAGGCTTGACAGGACCCCCAGGACCCTCAGCGTCTCTCAATAATTTCACACAGCCACTGTCTGCCTTCTCCGTCCATCTGGGCATGAACAACACATCCTCAGTGAAAACCCTCCACTTCACGGACATTGTTTACAACCGACAGCATCACTATGACCCTCAAACAGGCGTCTTCACCTGCATCATCCCTGGCATTTTCCAGTTCAACTTCCTCTGCATCTCCCACATCTCTGAAAAGAGTGTGGCTTTGTGGCACAATAACAAAATGGTTATGCAGAGCTTCAAATTATATGTGGGGCAATATATTCTGTCTGGGCCCACATTGCTGCAACTGGAGGCAGGGGATACTGTCAGGCTCGAGTCCAGCACAGGAACAATAGGCCTGAGTAGCAAAAGCTTCTTCACTGGACACATGCTATTCACCACATGATCATCACTGGGCTGCTGCTACTTTACTGTACTGAATTGGGAAAAAAAAAAACTTTAACACACTTTAAAGAAGCTATACCCGATTTTTTTTCTAAGTAGTTCATAAAAATACTGTTTACTACATACAAGTTGCATCATAATACATAATTTAATTGAAAACTTGAGGTCATTGATTCCACTGTGTATGAAATTCAGGCAGTGAAAAGTGCTGAGTATAGTCTGAGCGGGCCGCTCTTTCTCCTCCGCTCACAGAACGAGCAGCGAACAGCCTGCGTCCTCTAGCCTCTACAGCGCTGCTTAACACCAGGGCTTCGACTTCAAAATTCGAATATAATTCCAAAATTAAAAAATATATACATATTTGAACAAATATTAGACAACCCTTATAATTAGAAATGTATTTAATGACTGCAAATAAAATAGTTAGCTCCCAAAGGTTTCACCGGGACGTGCTAGGCAGGTAACAGCTAAGCTAGCTAGCTGTTTCATGGTAACTTCCGGGTTTTTCGCGATCGCTTTTTGTCACTTTAAAACAGTATTTTTGTCATGAAAACGTTGACAGCAAATTCTGAAATCGTCCGTGCATGTGTGTTTAGGATGTATATGTGTACTGTATTGTCCGATTGACGTTTAATGGTGTTGATTGATTGATATGTATTTGTTTATTGAGCGTGGCTAGCTCCGCTAGCTTCTCTACACAGACAAGTGTGTAATGACAGGTGCTGATAGCTTGTTCTTGCAAAGTAATGGCAGTATTTTACACACCTGAATTACAAACAGAGATTGCATTGGGACTGCGGTCATTATTGGTTTGAGAGTTCTGTTATCAAGAAAAAATGATCGGAAGAATTACATTCACGTCAATGGAGTGCTGCTGCTGTGAGGAGCTGTATAATAAATTATAATTAAATATTAGAATATATTCTAATGTTTAAATGAATACATTCGGACGCGAAACTAATGGTATTCTTTTACTTATATATTGTGTTAGCAGTGCATTGCTTTAGTACCATTTCATCAGTGATTGTTGTACAGCTTACAAGTTGCGCTAATGCTAATGTTAGCATATGTATCAGATCGCAAATAAAACTAGGTGGCTCCGTGTTATGAGAGCGTAGGGGAAATGAGAAGCCTGTGAGCGAGTTGGGGGGCGGTGCTAAACATTCAAACATTGCAGAAACGGGTATAGCGCCTTTAAGTACGTATATGGTTTGGATCTGTTACATCTGTCCTTTGTATACAGACAAAGCAAACCCCATACTATGAATGTTTTGTACTGATTAGAAATAAATGTACTTTTTCTGATGCTTTACTTGCTTACTAAAATATTCAAGCTGTTGTGTCTTTCACTTACTGTATTTTCTTATGCAAATAATAATACAAATCTTCAAATAGAAAAATGTGGTAGCAATTTAGTCATTTATGTCCAGTGAATTCAAATGTATGATTATACTTTAGTGCAGGGGGGTCATTTAAAAATCAAAGAAAATAGTTGGATGTTCTGTGTCTAAGTCCTTGTGGTGGCCTGAAGTACACACAGAGGCTCCTGCTGTGCTCAGTCTTCTGTTTGAGCGCCACTTAACTCAGTGTTCCCCTTCACAGGTTTTAGCAGGGGGCGGGGCCCATTTATCACAGTCCAATTTCCACCTTTTTGAATTTAAAAACAAAACAATGCCGCCTCGCTTACTGAAAGACAAGTGTCTGTCTTTTAAAGATATGTTCATTGTCTACAAGGGTGGCATTGAACCTCGCAGACCTAAAAAAAAAAAACACACTATGGTCAATAATCCAATACAATGCGTCGCAGGAGTCAAAATAAACACTAGGCTCTCGAGCTGCATGCAGCGCCTAATCAGAATGGCTCTTGGCCTCTCATCAAGTTTTTTATAATTAAATATTTATTAAGGAGAACATTAGAAAATGTATACATTTTACCAAATGTACAAAAATGTGGTTCTCCTTTTTTAAATGTTTTTATGAACCCCCACTCTTCACTCCCTCCCTATCCCTCGCTCTACCCTCCTTCTCCCCCCTACTATCCACCCCCGTCCCCTCTCATCAAATTTGACCAAAATGTATATAATTTTTGGGCGACAGTAGCTCAGTTGGTAGAGCATTGGCCTTTGGGCCTGAAGGTCGTAGGATCGAGCCCACCGTAAGACCTACTTCACGACTCCCACTGATGACTGCTGTCGTTGTGTCCTTGGGCAAGACACTTAACCCCACTTTGCCCAAAGCCCCAACTGAAAGATCTCAGCTCCTGTGGACTCACCACTTGCAGGAGGATCAGTGAGGGGCTGGTGCTCTGTGGACTGGGTGCAGCTCTGACTGCCGCCCCCCCAACCCAGAAATGGATTAAGGGGAAGAAAATGGATGGATGTATATAATTTTTTACCAAGATGTGTCAAAATGGTGTCTCTTTCACTCCAGAGCCTTTGATAAAGTTGCAATAGTTTTGCTATTAATGTAAAAGTACATTGAGTATTCTTATCTTTTCTTATCACAAAGCACAGTGTGCTCCACAAGACACATAAAGTCACATTGGCATGATACATTTTATTGTGACAAACGGTTTTGGTGCTGAAATATAGCCACCTCAATTATTATCTCTTGTCACCTACGGTTTACTTATGAATTGATGCCTTACTTTTGTTTACAAATCAATCTCTGTAATACAATGTCAACTGCATTTATGAGATATTCCATTATTCCATAAATTAAAAAAAAAATTGGCAAAGTACAAAATTAAATACAACAAAGATACAAAAACTCTGGAGCAATAATTAATTGTTAAGATATTATAATATGTATATTATAATTATATAATGCTTCACCACTTTTACAGTGTAAGTAAGTAAGTGATGATTATTTATATAGAGCATTTTACAGACCAAGGTCATCCAAAGTGCTTTACAATGTTCAGAGTTCAGATATTGTTCCAATCATTACACACACGGTGATGATGGAAGCGAGTCGCCGAACACATCAAAGCCCTTGACATAGTGAGGAAGGAGGAGGAAGCATCACCTGCACAAGGCTCTGGGTGACGCCTCTGACTCTATTTAAACTCAGGCCCAGTTTGTCGTCACATTCTGAGATCCACTGTTGGCTGAGGCTGCTGTCCACACAGGTAATTATAATATGAACTAAAACAGCTCTTTACTTGACATTCTAAGATATGCAACTATCCCATGTGCGCTCCAGTATTTTCTATATAACCTGAATGTTTTACAGAGATGCTGCTCTGTTCTCTTTTTGTGTTGTACCTATGCACTGTGCCTGTTCAACTGAACTCCAATGGTAAGTGATTGTAACCATTTACTTTAAAGATTTTGAATAATTCTGAAACATCTCAACATTTGCTGTAGATTTCCTTAGTCCATTACTCAAGAAATGTTATGAAGATGCAAAGGAGATTGTGGATGTGGCGTACAGGTTCTCCAGAGAAGAGTGAGTGTGTTACTTTCAATAGCAAACCTTCCATCCATGCATCCATTTTCTTCTTTTTTTTCCAACTTTATTTATTGAACATTTTAACAATAATAGACATACAGCGTCAAGTAAAAAGATGAAGAAGAAAATAGACAATATCGCTGAATGTCAACCCCAGCATCCACCCACCCCCCACCCGGGCCAAGGAATAAGACAAAAAAGACAAAAATAAAATATAAACAGAAGACGAATACACAGACACACTCACACACACAAACAACCACAAAGGGGAAAAATATGAAGTGGATAAGCAAAATAAAAAAATATTCCCCTCGTTGCAATTTAATCCTCCTCCAGGTCATGAGGAAACGTCGTAGAGTTAATAAATTAATAAAAGGATCCCAGGTTTCATGAAATGATTTGACTGAGCCCCTTAGTGAGAACCTCAACTTCTCAAGCTTCAAATTACACAATACAATACAATACAATACAATTTATTCTTGTATAGCCCTAGGTCACAACAGAAGTCATCTCAGAGGACTTAACAAAACCATTGAAATCACCAACACAGGTCAGAGAATCAACAGTTAAAACACATGAAGAATACAGTATAAAGCACACACAGAAGAAAATGTCCATACATGTTGTAGAATGCTAAAGTGTCCTGATCATCACCAATCCTTTCTGTTGGACACTAACTGTCCAACAAGACCCTCCTGCATCGACAAGGAAAAACTCTTAAAAAACCCAGTGGGAAAAAGTGAGAAACCTTGGAGGAGAACTAGGGAAACCCACAGGGAGGGAGACCCATATGAGAAAGGGATCCGCTCCTCCGGACGGACAGACTAATGATCTAGGACCTAAGCTAGCTACAGAACGTGGACCAGTGGACGCTGAACGTGGACAGGTCCAAATTGTACAGGACTTCTCGAACCCAACGACAATGTGAAGGGGGACGGGGAAGCTTCCAGTTGAGTAAAATCAGCCTTCGGGCCAGCAATGTGGTAAACGCAACAACCCGCTTCATTAATTTAGGTAAATTTGAAACAATAAGGACCCCAAAAATGGCAGTAGCAGGATTAGGGGCAATTAAATGACCATATGGCCTAGACAGTATTTCAAAAATGTGCGCCCAAAATGCATGCCCAAAACATATGCACATGATTGGCAGGAGAAAATTGGCACCTGCAACAAGCAGCGCTGGCAGTGGGATAAATGTGGGTCAATCTAGCAGGAGTATAGTGTACCCGAAATATTACCTTACATTGAATAAGTCTGCGCACAGATAGATGATAAGTGGACAAGAGAAAGGGCTGAATTCCACTCCTGTTCAGTTATTGTAAAATTAAGACTATCTTCCCATGCATTTGCATTGAGAGATGTAGAAGTGGTGGACCAAATTGACCTATACAAAAATGAAATACATACTTTAACGAGTGGAGACACTGAAAGAAGAGAGTCAAGAAGGGTTTCTGGGGGGCGGTTAGTTTTTTCAAGTCCCGGACTTGAAAAAATCGGAAAAGATGATGCCTTGGGAGTTTATATTTGACAGAAAGCTGTTCAAACGATGAAAATATACCATCCACATATAAGTCATTCAGCGACCTAATTCCACTATTATGCCATATTTTAAAAGCATGATCCAACGTGGATGGTTCAAATGCACAATTCCTAAATACAGAGTTTAAGGTGGTGGAAGTTGAGAGGGCAAGCTGCTTCCTCACTTGGCTCCAAATTTTTAAAGATATGGATACAACTGGGCAGTTAGTTAAACGTGGCAAAGGGAGTTGTGAACATAGTTGTGCGCAAAGACCTTTTCTCCAACTTAACCCAGCTTGGAGCAGAATCATCATCCTCTTTAGTCATCCAGAACAAAAGCTTCTGGATATTTGCAGCCCAATACTAGTATCTAAAAATTGGGAGGGACTGTAGAATGGACTTGCGTATCCGTACAGGTTTTCCAGCCCAAGGAACTTTGAAAAAGCATTGTCCAATTTGTCAAAAAAAAAGACTTATTAAGGAAGACAGGGAGATGTTGGAAAAGGTATAAATATCTAGGCAGAACAACAATTTTAACAAGGCTAATACGACCTGCAAGTGATATAGGTAAACAAGACCAGCGGGCAAAATCCCTCTAAGTCTTATCCATCAAAGGTACAAGGTTTTCACCATAAAGGTCAGAAAGAGATTGGGTAACTTGAATACCCAAGTATCGAAAGCTGGTGCTTGACCACCGAAATGACATTGAGGAAGGAGAGAGAGCCTTAGAAAGATCATTAACCGGCAAAAGCTGGCTTTTCTGATAGTTAAGTTTGTAAACAGATACACTGCCAAATTCTTGTAAAATGTTAAGGATTACCGGGAACCAGTTTATGGGATCGGAAACATAGAGAAGGAGGACATCTGCATACAATGAGACCTTGTGAACTGAGTCTAGTCGGGTGATTCCTTTAACCTCTTAAACTCCTACATCTGTTTTGGCTCGTGCACAAAAGCTGCTTTACTAACATTTCACCATCATAAAAAGCATATTTTTTAGTTTTGGTACTTATAAGTTACAAATCTGTGTGATTTTCTTTTACATTTTTTCAAAATTATTTTTTTAGTAGTGTAAATGCATATAAAATATGCGCAGCAGTATTAACAGCGTCTTTACGCACGCTTTTACTGTGAAAATGAAAAGAGTTCATACAAGTCCCACCCATCAAAAGAAAGCTCTTTTTATTGGCTACTTAGACACATCAATCATTCAGAGCCAGCACATTGCGCTAGCCTGTAATCAACAACAAGGGAAAAAGGACCCTGTGCAAGTGGATGCGGTTCGTCTTTTTCACAAGGGTCCTGCGGACTGAAACCGGCTCCTATCTTTTCAACCTCTCTTTTTGAAGCTAAGGACTCAAAGAACACGTAGATATGATGTTTGTGGGGGTAAACAAACTTGGTGAAATGTGAAAGAGAAGCCTGAACATTTTTCGGAGTGTTTTTTTTGCAACAGAAAAATGCACATTGTTGGATTATTTCTGAAGAATGGATTATACTTTGGGAAATATAAGTGGATATTCTTTTTCACTGAAGACTTACGGAGAGAAAGAGACTGAGCAAGGATGGGGAAAGTCTAATTTGTCGGAGCAGCAGAAGACGAAAGTTAAGAAACTTATACAAACACGATTTATTTTGTGCTCATATTATGCGTTATATCTTTTTAAAGTCTGATATCGTTTACACTTACATATAAATATAGCTGAAAAAATAAGCTTTAAAATGATATATAGCTTGTGGCTTAGGAAGTTCAAAATACATCTGCTATTGCCAGCAGAAGTATTTTTTCTGCTTAAGAGGTTGCCTCCTCCGAACGCAACCAGAGAGCCTGTGGCTCAATTACCAAAATAAATAATAAGGGGGAAAGAGGACAGCCTTGTCTTGTGCCGCGATGTAAAGGGGACTTTTGGGGAGGAGTAAAGAAGTTTCACCCAGTTAATAAAAGCTACTCCACATCCAAATCTGGACAATTCATTGTACAAAAAGCACCACCCTGTCGAAGCCTTTTTCGGCGTCGAGAGAGACAACAACTTCTGGAACCAAAGAACTAGGAGAGGTAATGATATTGAAAAGACGTCTTGTGTTGCATGACAATTGTCTCCCTGACATGAAACCAGACTGGTCCAAGTCTAGGCAAGGCAAGGCAAGGCAAGTTTATTTATATAGCACAATTCATACACAAGGCAATTCAAAGTGCTGAACAAAACAAGAAAGCATTAAAATCATAAATAATCACAGAACATTAAAAAGAAAGATACAAATATAAAATCCCTCAGTTGTATGCACAGCTAAACAGAACTGTCTTTAACCTGGTTTTAAACATTGTCAGAGAGGAGGCCTGTCTCACATCTTCAGGAAGACTGTTCCAGATTTTAGCAGCATGAATCTGAAAAGCAGCCTCCCCATGTTTAGTTCTGACTCTGGGCACTAACAGGAGTCCAGTCCCTGTGCTCCTCAGAGTCCGGGCTGGTTCATATGGTACTAACATGTCACTAATATATTTTGGTGCGAGGCCATGGAGAGACTTGTAACAAGCAGAGCTGTTTTAAAGTCTATTCTCTGAGCCACAGGAAGCCAGTGCAGAGACCTGAGGACTGGACTAATGTGGTCGTACTTCCTGGTTCTTGTCAGGACTCGAGCTGCTGCATTTTGAATGTACTGCAGCTGTTTTACAGCCTGTTTGGACAGACCTGTGAGCAGGCCATTGCAGTAGTCTAACCTACTGGAGACAAATGCATGGATAAGAATCTCCAGGTCTGCTTTAGACACTATGTTTTTGATCCTGGCAATGTTTTTTAGATGGTAAAAAGCTGCTGATGTTACTGATTTGATGTGGCTATTAAAATTTAAGTCTGAGTCCAGTATTACCCCTAGATTTCTGACCTTGTTTGAAGGTTTTAGGGAGAGAGACTGTAGGTGACAGATGACGCTCTCTCTTTGTTGTCTGCGTCTATCATGGATGGTAGAATTTTCTGTAAACGTGAAGCAAGAATTTGTGACAAAATTTAAAATCAACGTTCAAGAGCGAAATGGGTCTATAACTACTACAAAGCAAAGGATCTTTGTCCTTTTTAAGAAGCAGGGAGATTGTGGCCTCCGAAAGAGTGTCTGGAAGACGACCAAAGGAAAATGCCTCATTGTACATGTCTTTCAAGTGGGGACTAAGCAGGGTAGAGAAGGCCTTATAATAGTCAGCTGTGAAACCATCAGGTCCAGGGGACTTACCACCCTGAAGTGAGCCAATAGCCTCCTGTACCTCCGCAACTGTAATGGGTGCACCAAGTGATTCTGCAGACTCTTCCTGAATACGAGGAAAATGTATAGCATCCAAAATAACATCAGCACTGCATGGGGAGTCCGAAGCGTAAAGGGAGGCATAAAATTCCACAAACATATTATTTATATCTTTGAAGTCCGTAAGAGTTTAATCCGAAGATGATTTTATAGCCGGGATAAGTCTTGAGGACGCCTCTGTGCGC